AAAATGTTTGACATCGCCATTCATTAGGCAAATGCATATCTAAACTACAATGAGGCGAGGGTATAGTGGCTCAAACCTGTAATCCCAGTACTTGGAGAGGCTGAGGGATTGCTTGAGCCCAGTTCAAGATCAGCCTGCATGACATAGTGAGACCCCCGTCATGTCTCTAAAAAAAAAAAAAATTTAAAATTAGCCAGGCATAGTGGTGTATGCCTGTATTTCCAGCTACTCAGGAGATTTGAGGTAGGAGGATCACTGGAGCCCAGGAGGTCAAGTCTGCAGTAAGCTATGATTGTACCACTTATACTCCAGCATGGGCAACAGAGTGAGACCCTGTCTTAAAAACAAAAAACAAAACAAAACTGCAATGATATACCACCTGACACCATTAGGTTGGTTACTATATTAATAAAACAAGCAAACAAAAAAACACACAAAAATTCTAGAAAATAGCAAGTGTTGGTGAGGATGTGGAGAAACTGGAACCCTTCTGCACCATTGCTGGGAATGTGAAATGGTACATCCATGATGGAAAACAGTATGGAGGTTCCTCAAAAAATTAAAAGTAGAATTACCCAGCAACTGAATTTCTGCACATATACCCCAAAGAATTGAAAGCAGGGTCTCAAAGAGATATTTGTATGCACATGTTCATAGCAGCATTATTCACAATAGCTAAAACATGGAAGCAACCTGTATTAGTCCATTTTCATGCTGCTGATAAAGACATATGCAAGACTGGGTAATTTATAAGGAAAAAGAGTTTTAATGGGACTCAGTTCCATGAGACTGGGGAGACCTCACAATCATGGCAGAAGGTGAAATGCACATCTCACATGGCGGCAGACAAGAGAAGAAAACTTGTGCAGGAAAACTCCCCTTTGTAAAACCATCAGATCTCATGAGACTTATCCACCATCATGAGAACAGCATGGGAAAGACCTGCCCTCATGATTCAATTACTTCCCACTGGGTCCCTCCTATAACACATGGGAATTATGGGAACCAAAATTCAAGATGAGATTTGGGTGGGGACACAGCCAAACCATATCACAACCCAAGTGCCCATTGATGGATAAATGAATAAGCAGAATGTGGTATAAACAATGGGATACTATGTAGCCTTAAAAAGGGATAAGATTCACCCCATCTCTACTAAAAAGAAATACAAAAAATTAGCCGGGCATGGTGGCACCCGCCTGTAATCCCAGCTACTCAGGAGGCTGAGGCAGAGAACTGGTTGAACCTGGGAGGCACAGGTTGCAGTGAGCCGAGATCGCACCACCGCACTCCAGCATGGGCAACGGAGCGAGACTCTGTCTCAAAAAACAAAACAAAACAAACAAACAAGGGATGAGATTCTGACACAGGCTGCAACATGGATGAATCTTGAGGACACTGTGCTAAGTGAAATAAGCCAGTTGCCAAAAATACAACTACTACAGAATTCCACTTATATGAGGTGGTTAGACTAGTCAAAATTATAGAAACAGAAAGTAGAATGGTGGGTACCAGGGCCAGGGGAAGGGAAATGAGGAATTATTGTTTAATGGAGACAGAGTTTCAGTTTTGCAAGATGGGAAGAGTTCTACACAGATGCATGGTGGTGATGGTTGCACATCACAAGTGTATTTAACACCACCAAACTGTACACTTAAAATGATTAAGGTTGTAATTTTAAGTTATATGCATTTTACCACAAACTTTAAAAGTTGAAAAAAAGAAGTGAGGGCAGTCGTTGCACTGGGGAGAAGGAGGAGGGCAGTTACTGGTGGGGCTTTGGAGGGGTTTTTGACACAGTGTTCCACTTTCCAAACCAAGTGGCAATTACGCAAATATTGCTTTGCTTTTTTAAAAAAAGATTGTGGCTTTCTTCTTCCTAGAAGACTGTGTGTTGTCCTCTTGTCAGGCGTGCTTTGTTGAGAGAAGCTGCTCCATGGGAGAGCCTACATGGCTGGGAGCTTAGGGTCCCTCTGCCCAACAGCCCATGAAGAGTAAGCTCAGATGCAGACTTCCCCAGGCAAGCCTTCAGATGGCGCCACAGATGCTGTGCCATTGTCCTAATTGCAGTCTCGGGAGAAGCCAACATGCAGAGGACTCAAGCCATGCCTGGATTCTTGACTCATGGAAATGGTGAGATACTGAATGTTTTTTAAGCTGCAAAGTTTTAGGGAATTTTATTATGCCCCAATAGATAACAAATAATGCTACGTATAGAATACTGTGTTACTACTTATTTTATCTTGAGACTTTAAAAAAATAGATATTTGAATATTGCTTGGCTTTTATCATTGTAATCGATAAGGCTGCTTTCATGATAACTGCTTTTGGTGTAATCTGAGTGGTTTTCTTTTTCACTTTAAATTTTTTTTTTATGTCTTTTGTATTCTGTAGTTTTACTCCTAAATGTAGAAGTGTAGTTTCATTTTTTTTTCCCCCAGTTCAAGTCTCACAGTGTTCCTGAATCTTAGGATTCACATTTTTCATGAAGTATAGAACTTTCTTGTCATTATCTTTTTAAATACTGTTGCTTCCTCATTCTTCTAATCATTCAGAACGGAACTCTCAAAGATGTTTGGGATCCCCTCATTCTGTCATCATGCTCTGCCTCACACCAGAAGTAATTTCTGCATATATCACAAATTCAGCTTTCAGCTGGGTCTAAATTGCTTTTTAACTCACTCATTGAGTTAATTTTAGCAAGTATGGTTTTCCGTTCTAGATATTCCATTTAGTTCTTCAAAACTGCCTATTCTTCCCCCATTCCCTTGCAATCGTATTCTTGTTCATGTACTTTTTTTTTTTTTTTTTGAGATGGAGTTTCGCTCTTGTTGCCTAGGCTGGAGTGCAATGGCACAATCTCGGCTCACCGCAACCTCCGCCTCCCGGGTTCAAGCAATTCTCCTGTCTCGGCCTCCTGACTAGCTGGGATTACAGGCATACGCCACCACGCCTAGCTAATTTTGTATTTTTAGTGGAGATGGGGTTTCTCCTTGCTGGTCAGGCCGGTCTCGAACTCCCCACCTCAGGTGACCCACCCACCTTGGCTTCCCAAAGTGCTGGGATTACAGGCGTGAGCCACCGCGCCCAGCCTCATTTACTTCTTTTATTACTGTAATTCTTAACCATGTTAAACATGTTTAATTAATGTTCTCTTTTTTGCTCGATTCACCTTCTGAAGACCTTTGGTGGGGGAGTCCGTTCCTGCTTTCACACATCTGTTGACTTCCCTCATGTGGTTCTTTCTTTGCATGTCTTGTACTTTATGATTGTAAATTCATCTTCAGTGGGTTTTATGGGTAGGAATTGGAGGGGGCTAGATTGAGAATGTCTATGTGATTTTGCTTCTATCACTGTGCCTGCTTCTGTCATGGGCATCAAGGGTCTTACTGGCCTGGGCCCAGGTTTTATATCAAGTTATTTGCTGCAGGGGTGGTAAGGCCTGGACTGTGAAACCTGTGAAAATTTGATACCTAGGCTGGGCACGGTAGCTCATTCCTGTAATCCCAGCACTTTGGGAGGCCAAAGTAGGAGGATCACTTGGGCCCAGGAGTTCAAGACCAGCGTGGGCAACACAGCTAGACCCTGTCTCAAAAAAGAAAAATTCAATACCTGAAGTCTAACGAGACTCTGAGTCCTGATTATCAATTTTCAACAAAACTTGTTTCTGTCTCACAGAACCACAACAGGCAGGCAAACACAGAACCATCCTATTTTCTTCCTATTTTCATCCTATTTCTGTGGGCACATTTGTTCACATCTCTCCTGAGGGTGTAACCCTTTGAGTGCCCTTGTTCCAGTTCCCGATTCACGTGGGTCCAGGGAGGCCTCGTCTCCTTTCCCATGTGAGTATGGAGACTTAAATCCCGAGGCTCCAGATCAACATTCTCCCGGGCTGCTGCCCTTTGGCTATCACACTTCAAGACCTGGTTTTCAGTCTGCTGTTTGTCTCTGGTTCCTGTCACATCCCTGACCTCCTTGTGAGCTCAGCTGTGCATCAAAAGTTTGTTGTTTCTATCTTGTGTTCACAAGTTCTGTTCTGGGAGGCTTTTAGGGTTAGACCATCACAGGTAAAGACAGAAGTGGAAATCTACTTTTGCACTATTTCTAAGATCAATTTCTAGGCTCGTTTTCAGAACATTTGCCATCCCTCTCTGCTCTGGTTTGAATAACTGTCCCCTTCAAAATTCATATTGAAGTTTGATTGTCATTGTGATGATCTTAAGAGGTGGAACCTCTGAGAGGCGATTCAGCCACCAGGGCTTTGCCCTCCTGAATGGGCTGGTGCTGTTATCATGGGAGTGGGCTTCTTATAAAAGGGTGCATTCAGCACCCTTTCCTTTCTCCCTCTCTTTGCCCTTCTGCTATTCTGCGATGTGAAGATGCAACAAGAAGGCCCTCACCAGATGCAGCCCCTTGAGGTTGAACTTCCCAGCCTCCAGAACCATAAGCCAACAAGCTTCTGTAAACTATAAGTTACCCACTCTGTAGTAGTCTGTTACAGCAGCACAGAATGGATGAAGACATCCTCTGTATCATTTTGCAATCCTACAAGAAAGGTGTTCTTTTGTACTCATTTCATCACTGGCTAAACTGGACTCTAGAGGGCTAAAGTAACAAGGCAGGTCTGTCCGCTTCCAGAGGACCTGTCCTGCAGTGGCGGTTCTGGGCTCCCCTGGGCTTTGTGGCACTTTACAGCTTGCAGTCATCCTGCAGGTAGATGTTATTTCTCTTCCCATCTTATGGCTGAAAACCAAGCCCTTATAGCAGTTATACAAGTTATGTGGCAGTGTTCAGCAATTGTATTAAAAATATTTTAGGTAGACAATGTGGTGTGTATATGTAATGGTACACCAGTCAGCCTTAAAAAGGAAGACAATGCTGCCATATATGATGATGTGGATGAACCAGGGCGTTATGTGAAAAACCCAGGCACAGAAAGACAAATGCTGCATGATCTCACTTACAGGTGAAATCTAGAAAAGCTGAACTCACAGAAGCAGAGGGTAGAATGGTGTGTATCTGGCACTGGGGCTGGGCAGTGATGTTGGTCAAGGGATACATTTCAGTTACATTGGAGGAATATGTTCTAGGGATCTATAGTAGGACATGATGACTATAGTTAGTAACAATATATCGTGTGCTGGAAAATTGCTGAGAGTAGATTTTAAGTGTTCTCACCACACCAAAAAACGACGAGTGTGTGAGTTAGTGCATGTTAATTAACTTGATTTAGCCATTCCACAATGTATACATATTTTAAAACAAGTTGTAAACAATAAATATATACAATTATTATTTGCCAATTAAAATACATACATTTTAAAATATTTTAGATATTTGTCCATTTTTGTTTCAAGTTTACTTGTTGGTCATTTTATTGTTAAAAATTTCTTGGTTGTTTTTGGCCGGGCGCAGTGGCTCACGCCTGTAGTGGCTCACGCCTGTAATCTCAGCACTTTGGGAGGCTGAGGCAGGTGGATCACCTGAGGGTCAGGAGTTCGAGAGCAGCCTGACCAACACAGTGAAACCCCATCTCTGCTAAAAATACATAAAATTAGCTGGGCGTGGTGATGGGTGTTCTCCAATTCCAGCTACTCGGGAGGCTGAGATAGGAGAATCACTTGCACCCAGGAGGCTGAGGTTGTAGTGAGCTGAGATTGCACTATTGCACTCCAGCTTGGGCAACGAGCGAAACTCTTGTCTCAAAATAAATAAAAAAAAATGACTGTTTTTTTTCTGTGTGTACATGACTGACAACACCAGTGGTTTCCTTTAACACCTCATCAACGTTCCCAGGCACTTTTTGTATTTGAGGTATGTGAAGTAATAGGGTGGCCCTTGTCCTGAGTGTGATACTGAACACACCGACTGATAAAATGGGGGCCTTTGGCTGCACACCAGACGCTCTGGGTACTGATGAGCTCGCCCCCGACTCTGCCAGAAATCAGAACGGTGGTCCAGGAGAGTTAGCAGAAAGAGGAGGAACCAGACGCAGTGATCTACCTGGTTTGTCCTGGTGTCAGGTAACTTGGAGTTTTTCTTTCACACGTGGCTGGTACACAGGAGCACTCATAAATACCCGAGTTGAATAATATAGTCCATTGACCTGGAGTTGCATGAAGCAGCATTCATCCATCCAAAATGCCGATGCTTCTTCAGAGTGTACTGAATTTTCCCCCAATCCTAGGTTGTCCCACGTGATGGACAAAAATACCCCGTGTGGGAATGAAGGCTGGCCGGGGGGAACCTAGTGCCCAGGCTTCTGGCATCCCCACCAAGGTGACTCTCCAGCGGCTCCTAGGACAGCCCATCCGTGTAGGGCAAACGCCACGAGACCCTCCTGTGTGCAGGCACATGACAGGCCCAGGCACAGGGAGGCAGGTGGGCAGGCACAAGAGCAGCCAAACACTGACCCTGGAGGGCGGGGGTCATCTGCTCATCATGGCAAGGACTGGAAGTGGGAGAGGCAGGCAGCGCCCACTGGGGTTGGGACGAGCTGTGCACACGGCTGGGTGCACACAAAGCTGAGGCTTCTTTGTGAGCAACACAGTCACATTTGGGTGTAGGAATCTTGGCTGGAGTTGCCCAACGTGGGGAGCAGACAGCTCTGCAGCCAGAATCACAGCTGGAGAAGGAAGCACTTGGAACAAGCCAGGACAGTGGGACGGGCCAGGGCCAAATAAGAGTCGTGATAACGCACTGACAAGTTGTGCAGAGGGACACTGTGCAGACGGAGGCCATGGGGCGTGCTGATGGGGAAGACGATGGATCCCTGGCTGGCATGCATCCCTCTCCGTTCTTAGTTGCCTGTGGAATTCCAGCGAGCTCTGCTCCAGCTACACTGGACATAAAAGTGCGCAGGAAATGGATCCTGGAGAGGAACTGCTCTTCTGGACTGAGCTTGCTGCTCAGGGCAGCCTCACCTACAGGACCCAAAGCCTTATGTGATGTTTGCTGGACACTCAGCCACGTGGCTGCCTGTTGAGCTCTGCCAGTCCACGTGGGAGCCAGGAATTTCTCCCCAGAAGCCTCTCCATTTTATTCACCAATGCCCAGTAAATCACAACCTGACTTGCTGCAGAGGATGGAGTGCCTGGGACCCGTCTGTCCCCAGCTTCCCTGGGGAAAGAGGGAGTGGCATGTCCCTGCTGCCTTCTGGGCTGCCTGTCCATGCAGAGCAGATAGGAAAGTCCAGTGAGGTCCCTGCCTGTGCACTCCACCAACCACATCATCCCTTCCCGGCAGCCTCACCTAGGCCCCTCCATCTGTGACCCCTTGTCCCCTGCACCGATGTCTGGCCTTGGAGGTTGCTGCTCATTTTTCTGGAATTTTCTTAGATCTCTGCAGGGCTGCCCCTCCCCCTACAAGGGCTCCACACGTGTTCCCTCCTTCATGACTCCCACTGGGCTTCCCTGACAGGGCCCCACCCTCCCCAAAGCTCTGGTGACACCTGCCAGGTTTCCTCCAGGCCACAGCTGGGCAGCCCGGTCTTAGAACAGAAAGTGGTACGCATGGCAGGCCCGACTGAGGGCCCAGCACTGTCAGTGGGGTCAGAGGTCTTCCCAGGCCTGGAAGGGCAGACATGGGCTTCTCAGGGCAGCCTAGGACGCGTCCTCACGAACCACAGCGAAACTAGAGCAGGTGTCTCTCGGATAGGAGTCTGCATCATTCCGTCTCCAGGCTGTGGTTTCTCAAATTATGCAACTATCTGATCATTCCAGTGTGCTCAGAGTAGCCACGCGCAGAGGCCCTTCCCACAACTCCCCACGGGGTGGATGGAAGCGTCCACTCGCGGCGCGAGGAATATCCCTGGGCCCCTTGGGAGAGTCTGCAGGGGCAGCCCCTGGGTGAGCAGGCCCGGTGCGGCCTCTCCCTGAAGGGACTTTCGGGCCCTCCCGGGTCGGGGCGTCTCCCGCAGCGGGCAGAAGCAGAGCTGGCTACAAACCCTACTCTTGTTAAAGGAGAAACGGGGTCGAGAAGGGGGTTCTCCAGCCCTGAACTTCCCGGGCCGGGAACAGCGCCCTGGGCCGGGCAGAACGCGGCCCCTCCCGGAGTCGGGGTCCCCCCCGGCTGGGGACGAACTGGGGCGGGCGCGCTTCTCCTCCCGGGGCCCCATGTGCGGCCGGCTCTTGGACGGTAAATCAGGGCCCGGGTGGGGGCGATGGGGGGAACCCGCGGCCTCGGTGCCCCTGGCCAGCCCCGGGGACAGCGGCACCGCAAGGACAAGTCTTCGGAGGCGCACGGGCCAGGCCGCGGGGCCAGAAGCGAGCGGGGGAGGGCGGCGGCTGGCGGGGCGGGAAGGGAGCGGGGCGGCCGCTGCGCGGAGGAGCGCCATTTACGTTCGGGTCCGTTCCGGGCGCTGACGTGGGCGACCCTGCCTCGGCTTCCGGGCCCGGCGCCGTCCCGCAGGGGGCCTCGGGGCGGGCGGCGCTCCCGCCAGCGGTGCTGAGCCCGGCCCGACCCTGCCCGCCTTCCTCCGGGACAGGCGGTTTAGAACGTGCGGAACACCGGGCCTCGGGCCTCCGCCGGGCTGCAGGCCCCGTGAGCTTCCCGCCAGGCTCCCGCCCCGCCCCGCAGCCGCGCCCGGCCAGGGGGGCCCTGAGCCGCCCGCGTGAGTCCGTGCGCCGCCCGCGCCGGGAACCAGGAGACCAACCGCGAGGCCCCGCCCGCGCGCGCCGCCGTGTCCCCGCCCGCGCGGTCGTCGGAGCGCGGCTCAGCGGCGCGGCGGAGGCTCGGCACGGCGGCGGCCAGGCGCAGGCGGGCGGGCGGAGCAGCGGACGGCACCGAGGCCGCCCCACGCGCCGGACTCGCGGCGGCGCAGCGCGCCGGAGTGGTCGGGGCCCGCGGCCGCTCGCGCCTCTCGATGGGCAGCTCGCACTTGCTCAACAAGGGCCTGCCGCTCGGTAAGGCCGCGCGCGCGCGCGTTTCCGGCCGCGGGCGGGGGCGGGGCGGGGCGGGGGCCGCGCGGGCGGGGGGCGCGGGGGCGGGCCGAGCGCGCGCCCGCGGGCCGCCGGCTTTGTGTGCGAGTGCGCGTGCGCGCCGTCGTCCGCGCGTGGCCGCGGTCGGGGGCGGGACCGCGGCAAGGGTCGTGCGCATGCGCGGGCCGCTGCGTGTGAGCGAGCGCCGCCGTGTGCCTTCCCCGCCCGCGGCCCGCGCAGGTGACACAAAGGGGCCCGTGGGCCTCCAGGCTGCTCCACCGACCCCAGCCCCATGGGACCCGGGACGGCACCCCGAGTCCGAGTCCCGATCCCCGGCCGCTACCCCGTCCCCGGTCACGACCCCGCGGCTGGGCCTGCGGGACCGGGGTGGGAGCTGCGCCGTGCGCAGCTACGGGTGTCCTGGGGAGCGCGCTCCCTGGCCACTCGCGGGAGCGCGCCCCCTCCCGCCCTGAGGCTGCCGGCGACCGCGGCCGCGCGCTGTGGGGGAAGGGGACGGGGCCCGGGCGCCGGGTCTGACCGTGGAGGAGGCCGCCGCCCTCAGACCGGGCCCAAAGCGCAGCCCCCGGCGGTGACGCGGGCGGTCCCCGGGGGTCTCCGCTCTCGCGAACTCCGCGAGGGCCCGGCCCGGCCCGGCGCCTCCACCTGCCTCTGCCTGTGCCGGCCCGGGTCCCGGGGCGCCTTCCTCGCCGGCTGCGGCCGCGGAAGCAGGGAGCACGGGCGGACGCCGGGCGCACGGCCATCGCCATCTTGCAGCGCCCGCATCCTGGGCCGGCCCGGGCCGCTCCGCGGAGCCTTTCTCTCCCTCGACCCGGCTGCAAAGGCAGAGCCCGCGCGCTTGATCCCCGGGCCAAAACTGGAGCGTTCTCTGGCGGCCTCCAAGGGCACCGGTGTCCGGAAGCCCGGCCGGGGCCAGAGCCCTTTTGCTGTAGTCTCCGCGATTGCCGGGACAGAATTCCCTTCCAGTGGGGAAAAGGGAAGGCGGTCGCGCCCTTCCCGGTGCCCTGAGTGGGGAGGTGAAACCCTGAGAGTTGGGGCTAGAGGGCCCGGAGCCAGGGCCGAGGCGGCGGGTGCGCAGGGTGCTCCGTGGAGCCCGAGCACCCCCCCCCAAGTCCTCTCCACCGTTTCTGTAGGAGCTCGGCAGGGAGCACAAGTCCGTCGGGAAGAAAACGGCGCTGGTGGCTGGGCCCGCGCCGCGGGCGTCCTCGCTGAGCTCCTAGCGCATGGCCTGTGCGCGTCTGTGTACCCGTCTGCGGCTTGGGGCAGGGTTGGGGCAGCACCGTGGGGTAACTATTTGCCGTTGCAGCTGAGGATGACAGCTGCGGTTTGGGGGTCCTTCGTTCTGTGTCCTGGAACTTTGTAGGGCGTGGCTCTGCCCTGGGCCTCAGCACCAGGTCTCCCCTGCCCGCCCAGGCCTGGCCACCTCCCTCTGGGGTCTGGGTTTGGCTCCTGGTTGGCACTGTCAGCTCTGCAGACGCGTTTTGCCCTCTGTGATTCTGTCGCCCATCTTTGAGCACCTGCTTCCATGCTGGCGTCCTCTGCAGAACTCTGGGAGGGACATGCAGTGGGGGCTGCATCTACTCACTGCCCGGGGTGCCTTGTCCACCTGCCTGGCCGTTTTTGAGGTGTCTGCCATGTCCGCAGCATGTACTTCGTCCTGTCAGCCTTGACCAGGGCAGCTGTTAGTTCTGAGAGGTGGACATGTGGTTGGGAATGTCAGTGAGTAGGATCTTCCGTTTTGCACACTTGTCATTAACCTGAGAACATGGCAGTGGGGGAGGGGAGGTTTGGCCCCGGGTGCACGGGACTGTGGGCTGGTCCTGTCCGTCTGCTGAGTGGGATGGGCCTTGGCCCAGTCCTGTGGGCTTGGCGCAGAACCGACCCCAGCCACATCCTGGGGAGATTGGAGGTGCTGGCTGGTCCTGTCTGCCTCCTCCAAGGGCTGGGAGCCCCCCACTCTTTGGACGTTTGTAGTGTAAGGTTCCATTATCCAGCAGACAGCCACTGTTAACAGTCACTCTGTTAATAAGTTTTTTCTGGAGGAACCCTGGACGGAAGTAGTCACGCTCTGCAGGAAACGGGTCCCAGGCTCGAGAGGCCCAGTCTCTTCCTTTGGAGCTCAGAGGTGGCTGTTCAGCCACACCTGGCTCGCCTGGCAGTTTTTCTCCTCTGACTGTAACTAGCCCTTTCAACTTCCTGTGGCCACTGCCCCCAGAGTGTGACCTGGTCTGAGCTGATGGTGGCGTCCCTGAGCCAAGAGGCGTACGGCTGGTACCACTAGTGTTGCTGAGAACCCTTCAGGCAGCGCTCTGTGCCTGGCTGTGCCCTGGCGCTCCCCACGCAGTGCCCAAGTCAAAGGCGTGTGCCCTGTGAGGTGTTTACCCGAGTGACTCTCCTTCCAGAAGGACTTCTTGTTTTCCCCTCCACTCAGGGCTGGAGAGGGCTCCGTCTGGGTGGTGCTGACGGTGCAGGCCTGGCTCAGGGCCCAGGGGTGGCCAGGAGGTGGTGGAGGCAGCAGGTGGTGTCCTCCGGGTTCTGTGGTTGAACTGCATCGCCTGAGGGAACGCTGGTCAGAGTACCGGGGTCCTCTGGTGGTCGCTGGATTTTGGTAGTTGTGGGTAGGAGCTCTGTGCTGGGAGTGTCTGGCCCCCCAGGTCCTCCATTGTCGGCTGCAGTGGCCAGGGCCCACTACTCTCCCCCACACTGGGTCGGGGTAACCCACAAGATGCCACCTGCATCACTGACCGTCCCTTCCAGAAGCCCGTCCAGCCACACACTCCATGTGGTATCTCCCACGAGGAAACGTTCAGTTTTTTCCTGTAAAGTCAGAAATCTCTTGGGTGGCCTTTTGTCAAGCCAAACATTAACCTTGAGTTGTCTCTCTGGGTGGCCAGGCGGTGCCAGTTCTTATGTGCGTTGAAGGAGAGTGAGGATGGCCCTGAGGGAAGCCCAGTTGGTTTGGATGGGGAGGAGTTGGGGCTACGGCCCTGAGAGAGGTGTGGGTGGTGTTGGGACCAGGCCCCTTCTGCACCCTCCCCTGGCACCGCCGTCAGCTCCCCAGGCCTAGTGTGGCCCATGCCACCCTGCCCACCCATGCCACCCTGCCTGCCCATGCCACCCTGCCCCGCCACCCGTGTCACCCTGCCCACCCGTGTCACCCTGACCTGCCACCTATCTGTGGTGTGAGGGCTGCTGGGCTGCCCTGTCTGCATGGCTGGCGTGAGCCTCAGAGGCGTCCGAGGCTGCCTCTCGAGTGGTGTCATGTGTAGAGTGTCCTGTTGAGAAGGAGAGGAAGGGTGTAGCCCTGATACCTCACGCGTGGTAGGAGCCGGGAAGGTGGTGTTCTGGGGGTCCTGGAGCTCACAGGGCATGTGCATGTGCTCCCTGAATAAACAGGGAAATGTACGGCTCCACGGGTGTCCTGGAGAGGAATCTTGCTGGCAAATCCGTGCCTTTGATCGCAGCCCCTACACTGTGTCCTCTGAGCTGTGATACGGCCCCACAGGCCCTGTGGAGTACCGTGGCTCCCTGGCTCACAGGGATGCTGTCGTCGGAGGTGCCGTAACGGCTCGTGGGTGACTTGGGCGGTGTCTGTCTGGGGCGCTGTCATCGGAGGACCTGTATCAGTCCATGGGTGACGGGCAGTGTCTGTCTGAGGGAGGTTCTGGTGGCCCCATGCTCTCAGCCCAGTGGCTCCACGCTGCTGTGTAGTCCTTCTTGAGGGCCTGCCTTCTCTGCCGTTGAAGGGCAGGGGCTCAGTTCCCTCTGGGTGGCAGGCGGCTGTATCTCAGGACCGGAAGGCTCCAGGTCAGGCTGTGCACAGCCTTCGTTCATGTCAGCTCCTGGCTGGGCAGCACAGGGGCCTCCAGGCCTGGACAGCCAAGGGGGGCATCTCACCAGTGCCCAGATGGCTGTGCTGGGGACTTGTGGCAGGACAGCTTTGTCATAAGATGGCCACTCGAGCCTGGAGTAATCAGGGCTTACGGGGACAGGGCAGGGTGAGGGCTGGTGAGACTGCCCAGCCTGAGGGTGCCCTTCTGGTGGTTGGGGAGCTCCTTCCTGGGCAGCGGCTTTAGGGGCTGCTGTGGAGAGGGAGAGGTGAGGTTGGTGAGGAGGGGCTTTTGGGACACACTGTCCTGGTAGAGGCTGTGGGGGAGGGGAGCATACAGTTGGCCCAGCAGGGCTGGCCAGTGGAGGCACGTGGAGGGTTGGTGGCCGCCGAGCCTGGGTCTGAGCAAGCGGGGATGGAGACCAGGTACCGAGGCTGGGGAAGGAACGGGGGCAGCCGCTTGGTCCTGGCACATCTTGGGGTCCCCTGGGACTTCCTGGGAACCCCAGTGCCCAGAGACCCACTGTGGCTGTCTGGCGGGGGGGCAGGTCCCAGCCCGTGGTGACCCCCAGTGTGCCAGGGCAACCCTGGTCCCTCTCCAGAGTGGACCAATGCCCAGCACACACGTGGTTCAGGGCCGAGTGGGCAGGCATGGCCAACAGGAGGGAGGATCCAGCAAGCAGCTGGTGATGTGTGTCCAGAGACAGGGTGTTGACATGTGGCCAAGAGGTTCTGGGGTCATCAGGCTGCCACTGTGCAGCCCCCACCCCAGGACTTGATGGCTCCAGAGAACCTGGGGGCTGCTGCCCTCACCTCACCCCAATTTTCTTTAAAATGAATTTTTATTTTAGAACAGTCTTAGCTTTATAGGAAAATAGGAAGCTAGCGCAAGCTTCCCACGTGCGCTGCACTCACTCCCCTCATGGGTCTGTTGAGTGCTTTCTTATAACGTAAGGTTAAGCGTCTGCAGGGTGAGAACCTGGAGACTGTCCTTGTGTTGCTGTGCTGAGAGCCGTGTGTGGCTGTGAGTTTTTGATGAGGAAAAGCAGTGTGGGTCCTGGGTTTGGACAGCGCAGGCCCCTCTGGGAGCCGAGTGCCTTCACCTCGGAGCGTGTGGGGGAGGTACAGAGCTGGAGCCCTTGACCCTGACCGGCCAGCCAGGAAGGCCATAGGAGGTCAGCTCCCTGGCGTGAGGTGCCCAGGGCCTCCGGCGTCACCCTGGGTGGGGGCTCCAGGACTTGGACGCTGGCTGTCAGCGGGGCAGGTGTGGCCCAGCAGGGGGCTGCTTTGTGGGTGCACTGTGGCCCCAGGATGGTGCAGATGGTGGGCAGACCTGCCCCAGGGCTGTTTCTGAGACAGAGGCCCCTGGAGGAGAACCAGGTGCTGGGCCTCAGGTGTCTGTTCTGAACTGGGGCAGCCTTGGAACAAGGAGCCGCAGGAGGTCCCTGTGGCACGGGGCCCTGGCAGGGCCACCCCAGGGAGTGCAGGGCCACAGGAGTCCTGCCGCAGGTTCCTCGGCTCGGGAGCTCACGGCCTCCTCACTGCAGAGTCCTTTCAGGAGGGCCAGGGTGGCCTTCCCACATCTGCTTCCTCCTCAGAGACACAGGTGTGGGTACATACTGGCCAGTATTGATAAGCATTGAGTGGTATTGAGGGGTGTCGATGAGGCTCCAGGAGCAGCGGCTGGCGCCGTGGTGCTGTGGGCAGTATTGATGAGTACTGGCTGGTGTTGAGAGTTTGACTGGGCGTGGGTGGCGTGGTGCTCTGCCCCCTGGCCAGGCTGGTTCGTGGGTGAAGTGTGACATTCAGGTGGTTTTCTCCTGTCCTTTTAGTTTCTGTTTTTATGCAGGATCCGGGTGCCACGGGGGGATCTGGCCTTCAGGGCAGGAGGCTGCAGCGCAGGTCATGGGGGGCCCAGACGCAGGCAGTGGGATCCCACTCCACAGTGTTGCTCTTGGGCCCTCCATCGGGAGCCCCATACAGCACCTGCCATGAGGAGTGGTGTTGGGGACCCTGGATGGGACCTGTGTGTGTGGGGCTACACCTCAGCCCCTGTGATGGTGTCTGTGGAAGCTGGAGGCGGTCAGCCTGTATGCTTGAACCCTGCAGAGGGAATTGAGGGGCGGAGATTTGTCTGCGAGGCCTCTGGCAGGGGTTGGCCTTACGGCGCACCACCAGGGTCTTAGGCTTGGCTGAGTGGCCCCTCCTGGCCTGGCAGGCAGTCGTCTCTGCCCATGCCTGCCACGCTGCTGGGCTGGTGGTGGCTGGCTCCTGTCCTGGTTAGCCTGATGTCAGCTGCACGTTGAGGTCAGCGCCTGTGCTGTGTCTTCCTGCCAGAGCAGGGATCAGGTGTGGGTGGCTCAGTGACACCCTCCCGAGGGCTGGGCGATCGTGTGCACTCCCAGCACCCTCTACCTTGCAGGGCTGCGTTCCTGGAAGGCTTGGACCCCTCAGGTGCCCCCTGCCCCTGTGCATTCAGCCATCAGGGTTCATGCCCTCAGCTTCCCGCCAGGCCCTGGTCGTAGCCGTCAGGAAGAGCTGAGCCGTGCTTTTGGGAGAATCGAGGGAATGTCGCTGGGATGCACCAAGGGTCGGAGGTGGAGCTGGCGTGGCCCAGGGCAGGCAGTACCAGGCCGGATGCTGGAAAGCCAGTAGCTCCTCTCCCGGTGGCTCCTGGGAAGTTCCACGTCCTTGCCTGGTCACAGAGGCCCGGGAATCGGTGACATGAGATAGAAGCTTCCAGAACAGGAGGCAGAGCCCTTCCACAGTTTCCCTGCCCACAGCACACACCCTGTGCCCTCCGCCCCCTGGTTTTTGGACACTGGGGACATCTGGGTGCGGCTAGAGCCTGTGGGGGTGGCCGCAGCCCTGGGGGGCTGTTCCCAAGAGTCAGCCTAGGGGCCATTGGGGCCTGGCCTCGGGCCTGGCACTGCGACCTCGGGGTGAGCGCCCCTCGTGTGTGTGGCAGGAGCCGGGGCCCCTGGCTGGCAGCAGGCTCCCGAGTCCAGGTAGGTCCCGGACAGCAGCCCCGGGCGTGGCAGATGCAGTGAGGTCCACTTCTGAGGCGGTCCCTGGAGTCTGTGAGTTCTGGTCGGACCTTCGATGGCATTTTAATGTGTCTCTTGTGTTTGATTTTTAGTAAGACTTTGACCCCGACGCAGGCTTCAGTGATTGCCGTGGATCAGAAGCCTGAGCGCTTTGGCTCGAGACAATTAAGGACGTGGGATGAGGCTCCGAGACAGGACGCGGTTCTGCCTGGGGATCCTGAAGATAAAAAGCTTTGAAAAGTCGAATTCATGGTCGTGGAAGCTGAGGCCATATTAAGAGATGTCAGGTTGGTAGGAGTTCCTGGCGTCGGCGGCAGGCGAAGCCAGCCGGTCTCTTTGCGACCGTGTGGAGGAGGCACTGCCTCGGATCAAGTCGAGGGCCCTGGGCTGTGCAGGCGTCGGGCCTGACTGCTGCCACCTGGCCCCAGGTGTGCTCTGGGCGAGGACGGGCATCCCTCGAGGGAGGGCTTCCTGCACACCTGGCGGCAGAGCACAGCTGGTCAGGCCTGTCCGTGGCGTCTGCCGTCTGTTTCTGTCGGATAGTGTCCGAGAGGCACGGGGGGCCTCCACGTGGAGGCCGCCAGCAGGAGGGCAGAGCCCCACATGGAACCCTGGAAATCTTAGGTGTCCACCCGGCTGCTCAAGAGCAGGGCCGCGGCCCCGGTGGAGCTGTTCCTTGTGGTTGATCTGTGTTCTCTGGCCCGGAAGTGCGTGCAGCTGGAAACAGCCTTGGGCTGGGGGGTTGCTGTAAAGCCTGCTTCAGCACAGGCCGTGTGAATGTGAAGCCTCCTGAGTGTCCCCAGGCCCGCATGGGTGGGCTGTCCAGGGGAACCCTGGCACGGTGGTCGGGGGCAGCTCATGGGTGATGTGAGGAGGCACCTTGGGTGCCTGAACCTGATGGGGCCTCGTGTCTCCACCTGCTCCTCCCTCCCCACCGTTCCGCTGAGGAACCCAGCTCCCACTCACCCAGCACCCGGGAGTCCCTCCAGGCCGTTCCGATGAGGGACCCAGTTCCCACTCATCCACACACGGGAGTCCCCACAGGCGGTTCCACCAGGGGACACGGTTCCCACTCACCCAGCACCCGGGAGTCCCTACAGGCAGTTCCGATGAGGGACCCGGTTCCCACTTACCCAGCACCCGGGAGTCCCCACAGGCCGTTCCGATGAGGGACCCGGTTCCCACTCCTCCAGCACACAGGGGTCCCCCCAGGCAGTTCCACCAGGGGACCCGGTTCCCACTTACCCAGCACCTGGGAGTGCCCCCAGGCCGTTCCGATGAGGGACCCAGTTCCCACTCCTCCAGCCCACAGGTCCCCCAGGACACGGTTCCACCCCAGCCCGCCCCACCAGTTCCGGGGACCCCCACTTACCCAGCACCGGGAGTGCCCCAGGCCGTTCCGATGAGGGACCCAGTTCCCACTCCTCCAGCCCACATGGGTCCCCCCATGCAGTTCCACCAGGGGACACGGTTCCCACTCACCCAGCACCTGGGAGTCCCCACAGGCAGTTCCGATGAGGGACCCGGTTCCCACTTACCCAGCACCCGGGAGTGCCCCCAGGCCGTTCCGATGAGGGACCCGGTTCCCACTCCTCCAGCACACAGGGGTCCCCCCAGGCAGTTCCACCAGGGGACACGGTTCCTACTCACCCAGCACCCGGAGCCCCTCCAGGCTGTTCCAACAAGGGACCCGGTTCCCGCTCACCCAGCACCTGGGAGTCCCCACAGGCAGTTCCAACGAGGGACCCGGTTCCCGCTCACCCAGCACACGGGAGTCCCCACAGGCGGTTCCACCGGGGGACCCGGTTCCCACTCACCCAGCACCCGGGAGTCCCCCCAGGCCGTTCCGATGAGGGACCTGGCTCCCACTCCTCCAGCACACGGGAGTCCCCCCAGGCAGTTCCGATGCAGCCGAGTGGTCTGCAGTGGTCCTGCGTGTCCACGCCTTCCTTGTCAGAAGTGAAATCCAAGGACGCTGAGAGCAGATGTCTGTCCACTCACTCAGAAACAGCAACATAAACCTTTCCTCTCATGAGAAGTAATCACCACGCACAGTGGGGAGGAAGGCCGTGTGCAGAGGGAGGCCGTGTGCAGTGTCGCTGGGCGGCTGCCTGTGGTGCTCGTGGGCAGCTGTAGTCCGGAGGGAATGGAGGAAAGGTGAACCAGGACACGGTTTTGACCGTGCAGACCCCATGCTCGGGATCTGGGCCGGTCCCGGTGCCTTTCCTGTCTTGAAGGCAAGTGGGCGGAATGGCCAGTGGCTCCTCCGAGGACGCTGGGGCGCGAGGACCTTGTGGGAGGGTCATGGGCCCAGCCGTACTGGGAGCCCTTGGCTTTGGGGTGGTCAGTGGAGACCCATGCCCCGTCCCCTGCAGACCCACTGCATCCCTGGGCTGTCCACCAGCGTTTCTTTTCTCTGCCGTGGGTTCCAAGAGGCACTTCCCTGCTTCCTGGATACTGGCAGCTCGGCGGCCTCTACTCACCAGCAGGTGGATGGGGCGGGAGACTGGGCTGAGCGTGCTTATGGCCGCGGCCACTGGGGGCCTGCTGGGTCACTGTTTCTTGGTTCTGTCCTGCACCTCCCCTCCTGCTGGCCGAACGGTTCTGGAGGCTGCTTGGTCTCCTGGGGCCGGTCTTTAGGGGTGGACCGGCTGGGCCCTGGCCCCAGCTCTGCCTCTGCCCAGCTGCCATGGGCCTGACGGTAGCCCTGCCTGGTGCTCCCTGCCCGGCACGGGGCCGTTGGGCGGTACCTGGAAGCTGCCATGCTTCTGTGACGCCTCAGAGCCCTTATTTCTCCACTTGGCCTCAGTGAAGCTTAGTTGTGTCATACGCAGAAGGAGTGGGTGTTAATGATCTTTAATCGTCTCGTTCTGGGAAGGTTGGGTACAGAGTGGACTTTAATAGGTTTTAGCCCTTTTCTTTCCTTGCTCTGTTTCTTTTCCCTTCAAATCTGTAAATGGAAGTGATGCCAGGCAGAGCGTGGGGGGCGTCCCACATGAAACATTGGTGACCCCATCAGGGATTCCGGGCAGCCACGCGGTAGCCCAGGCAGGAAAGGGACAACCGTGTTCCCAAAGGCCCGTGCTGCCATCTGTGTTCTCCAGTGTCCGGGTCCCTCCTGTCCCCCTGCCTCATGGAGCTGCCCTGGGTCTCGGAGGGTCTAGGAGGGTCTTGGAGTCCCTGGGAGGGTCTGGAGGTTCCTTGGGGGGTCTCGGAGGGTCTCGAAGTGCCTCGGAGGGTCTCAGAGGGCCTGGGAAGGTCGCAGAGGGTCTGGGAGGGTCTCGGGGTCTCGGAGGGACCTTGGAGGGTCTGGGAGGGTCTCGGAGGCCCGGCGCCCAAGGAGGATGGTGGTGGGTGTCTGCAGTCTGTGTCCACTCGAGTTGGTGAACTGAAGCACACACGAGTCTGTCTTTCCCGTGGATTTTTAATTTACTTTTTACAAATAACAAAACGTATAGGATAGAAAACCCCCGGGCGTCAGCCCTCGTTGACCCGTGCACGGTGGGTGGCGTGGAGTGGGCTGTGGCCGCAGGGCCGCAGTGGTGCGAAGCTGAGCACTTGCCTCTGTCTTGCAGGCGTCCGACCTCCAATCATGAACGGGCCCCTGCACCCGCGGCCCCTGGTGGCGCTGCTGGACGGCCGGGACTGCACAGTGGAGATGCCCATCCTGAAGGACGTGGCCACTGTGGCCTTCTGCGACGCGCAGTCCACGCAGGAGATCCACGAGAAGGTACCACCACGTGCTGGCGTGGGGCTGGAAGAACCACACGCTGGAGGGGAGTGGGGAGGGACGGGAGCACAGCAAGCCCAGGCCGAAGCGGGTCTGTGTGCCACTGGGGCAGGAGCGGCCTCTGTCCCAGTCACCCTGCGCCATCTGGAGGTGGACACGGGGTTTCCCCTGCGGCCCGTCGGGAGGTGGACACGGGGTTTCCCCTGCGGCCCGTCGGGAGGTGGACACGGGGTTTCCCCTGCGCCCCGTCGGGAGGTGGACACGGGGTTTCTCCTGAGCTCCCTCAGGAGGTGGACACGGGGTTTCCCCTGCACCCTGTCGGGAGGTGGACACGGGGTTTCCCCTGCTTTCCACTGGGAGGTGGACACGGGGTTTCTCCTGAGCCCCGTCGGGAGGTGGACACGGGGTTTCCCCTGAGCCCCGTCGGGAGGTGGACACGGGGTTTCTCCTGAGCCCCGTCGGGAGGTGGACACGGGATTTCTCCTACTTTCCACTGGGAGGTGGACACGGAGTTTCCCCTGAGCCCCGTCGGGAGGTGGACACAGGGTTTCTCCTGAGCCCCGTCGGGAGGTGGACACGGGGTTTCTCCTGAGCCCCGTCGGGAGGTGGACACGGGGTTTCTCCTGAGCCCCGTCGGGAGGTGGACACGGGGTTTCTCCTGCTCTCCACTGGGAGGTGGACATGGGGTTTGCCCTGAGCCCCATCGGGAGGTGGACACGGGGTTTCCCTGTGGCTTCTTGATTCATTTTCAGTTTTTCCCAGGGAGCAGGTCCTTTTGTGGCGGGGGTGGAGTGAGGTGCTTTCCCCCGCCTCAGATGCGCAGCGGTCTCGGCATTGCCCACGACCCGGCTGTGGTCCAGCAGTGGGCAGCCTTTGGGCAGCTTTCCTGATTCATGTTTGCTCAGGAGCTCCACAGGCTTCTCCGTGATGAGGGCTAGGTCGGTCCGGCTCCTCGTAGCCAGGGATCCGTGATTCAGAGCAGCTTTTTCCTGAAGACAGATGAAGAATCTGGGCCCGCAGGAGCTCACGGGAGAGGGCCAGGCCCAGGCCACAACCCGGAGAGGCCCGGAGCCTGCAGAAACGGGCAAGCCTCGCCAACTCTGGCCTGGGGCGTTGGCTGTTCTGGAAGAAGTGGCTGAGAGACTGAATTTGGCTTTGCTGGGTGCGGGACCCTGCTGGGATATCCATGGCCCAGAAGGTGACACCTGGAGTGAGGGTGACCTGGATTCTGACTCGCCACACGGTCGGCACTCAGCCTACTGACGTCTGAGAAACCTTGAATCTGGATTTTCAGAGACCCCGCACTGCTGACCCCAGGTGCAGAAGGAAATGGGACGGCCCCTTTAGAGGAAGACGGCGTCAGCCCAGGCCTCAGGTCATTTCTAGAAATCCTCGTCTGGCGCGGGGTCCGTCAGACACAAGCAGAGGTAACCAGGCAGTCAAGGAGATGCACAAAACCCACCAGCCAGGGAAGCGGCGCCGGCCCATAGGAGCTCCCTGTGCTGCCCACGGGCCAGTCACCCCAGCACAGCTCCCGGGAGGCCGGGCCAGACACCCGACGAAGAGCTGATGACCCTGAAACGGGGCGTAGCAGTGTCAGGGGAGAACATGAGATGTGAATCTGAGAAATGCTGAAGCTGAACGGGGGAACTGAGGGGCGGGTTTACCAGTGGGCCGGGCAGCAGTGGACAGGAGGGAACGCGGGAGAGGGCGAGATGAGGAAGGGTCTCCCTCACAAACTTCAGAACAAGACGGGGAAGGGGCTGGAAATGATGACGACCGCAAAAGCATTTCCAAAACGGACAGAAGACAACCTGATGTTAAAAATGTGCGTGGTCTGCCGGGAGCTCTGCCGGGGCATTCGCTCTGGGAGATTCTTCACGGTTTCTCATGGGGTTAGATTGTGCTTGTAATGCAGCCCAGCGGCCACGCTCCTTTATCCTGGAGCCTCGGAACGTGCCGCATCCACACACCCAGCGGCCACACCCCTTTATCCCGGAGACTCGGAACATGTATCCACACGCCCAGCGGCCACACCTTTATCCCGGAGCCTCGGAACGTACATCCCCACGCCCAGCGGCCACACCCCTTTATCCCGGAGACTCGGAATGTGCCGCATCCCCACGCCCAGCGGCCACACGCCTTTATCCCGGAGACTCGGAATGTGCCGCATCCCCACGCCCAGCGGCCACACACCTTTATCCTGGAGACTCGGAATGTGCTGCATCCCCACGCCCAGCGGCCACACGCCTTTATCCTGGAGACTCGGAATGCGCGTCCACACACAGACCTGCAAGTCATGCTCCCTGGCAGCTTAACTCACCATAACCCAAACCAGAAGACTATCCCCCAGGCTGCCCTTCAGTGAGTGAGTGGCCGGGCGAACACTGGCCACCTCCCTTAGTGTCCTCCTCAGCAACAGGCGTGAACTCTGGGTCCCTACCACACCCTGGGTGATCTCGGCAGCACGGTGGTGAGTGAAGAAGCTGGTTTCAAGGGGTGCACGCTGTATCATCTGTTCATCCCCAGGTGACGGGGTAAGCGTGACGGAAACAGTTGCCAGGGGTGCAGGTGGGGCATCTGCCGGCGGGCCAGTGTCTGGAATCGGCGTGTGGGTACATCACACGGATGTGTCCACACGCGTGCAAGGGGCTGTGGGTGAACTGCCCGTGGTGCACACCTGAGGGAGTCATGTGGCACCAGCTCGGTTTTGACAATGCCCTTGGTTAGGTACAGTTTTCTCATTGGGAAACTGTTTGTATTAAAGATACACACGTAGGAATGAAAAAGAGGCTTGTCGAAAACTTTCAATATTGTAAGCAACGCTGAAACAAGTTTTGCCAACGAACTGGAAAACTAAGGCAAAACAGATGTTTTTCTAGAATTGCAGTAATCCCAAACTGCCTTGCCAGGTTCATATAAAATGCAAATCAGTGGTCGGGGTGCGGCCGGCGTGGGCCCTGGCGTGGGCCCTGGCGTGAGACAGACTTCCTGCTCCCCACCCAGACTGCACAGCCCAGGGCGGAGAGAGGACAAGGTAAACAGAAAACCACCCCAGGGGACGCAGCTGGATTCTTGGAAGAGATGAGTGTTGGGAACGGTCCTGGCATCCCGGAGGGGTCTGAAGCAGCCCCTAAGCAGAAGGAGAGCAGGCGCCGCAGAAAGGAGCCCCCAGAAACTAGGAGAGCTTGAAATTTAAAACGTGAGTGAAAATCTAATAAAAACAGGAAGTTTGAAGACACAGGGAAATGGCAGAAGCTAGAGATGGGAAGAGAAGCCACAGCCTCCCGGGGCTCCGTGTGGAATCTGAGGGGGCCGCCTTGATGCCGAGTCCCTGTTTCACAGTGTGTGGTCCTGCAGGAGGAGCTGGCTGCCCATGCTTTCTTGCCACTAGGGGTGGCCAAAGGACTGAACTCCAGCACAGAGGGGAGCAGGGCCTCTCCCTGCCATCCCTTCCCTGTCCCTGCTGGCCGGAAGCCAGCTGTGATGGGCGGAGCCTGGGTAGCCACCTTGGACCGTGAGTGGAGCCGTGTTGGGAACCGTGGAGCAACAAGACAGGAGGCAGGGACCCTCGTGGCTGTGGAGGGGGCTGCGGGCCACCTGTCTGCAGGCTTTGGTGTGGGAGGAAACTGAGCGCTTGCTTCATGTGTCACTGTTAGTCAGGAATTTGTGCCTCCTGGGGCAGAAACTTCCCGCATAGCTGTTTGAATGTCGCTGCTGTCTGAGTGCCGTGGAGGGAGAGAATGTGATACCGTCAGTGCGGTCATAGGAAGAACAGAAAGAATGTCGGGGCCTGGGAGGCACCCCGCTGTTAAGGTTCAGGATTAGGATTTTATTGATACCGTGGGTGGGCGGATGTCACCGACGAGGACACAAGACTCAGCACAGCACCCCCCGCCTGCTTTGGAATTGCCGAAGGAGAAGGGTTTTCAGCCCAGCACTGCACATCTGATCAAACTGCTGAGCAAGAAAAAGGAAGGCCTGGGGCCCGGAGGCTGCGTCCGGTGTGGGCTGCGGGGCCTGGAGCGGCAGGGCAGCTCTGGGAGGGCACAGGATGCAGTGGTCCGCAACGACCTGCAGCCAGCTGGACAGTCACACTCCTGCAAGACAAGCATCTCCCGGCCTTGGGGGTAGGGAGGCCGCCAGAAAGCCCCGCCGGACAGAGGTGCTGGGGCTGTGCAGGAAACGAAGTGATAGAAATCCGGGAAAAACACACAAGCTGGCGTTGTCATGGTGACCAGGAAAAACACACAGGCTGGCGTTGTCATGGTGACCGGGAAAAACACACAGGCTGACGTTGTCATGGTGATGGAGTGCAGGACAAGCCCCTTGATCTCTTGCTGGCAGCCGGCACAGAGACAGGCTGCCGTGGGCTCTGAACTTAATACCAGGTCACAGTCGCTTCTAGGAGCAAGAGGACGGATAACCCATGCCATATACTGGGGCCTGTTTCCAGGCAGACTGCCCAGTGCCCAGCTGAGCCTTGGGTGCAGTGCGGCCCCCGCAGTGCATGTCCAGACCCCAGGACCCACTCTCAGGTCTAGAAGATCTAGTTGGGTAGTGTTGGTACCACCAAGAGTGGACAGGACAGAGGAGCAGAGACGGCCCCACCCAGCAGGACGCAAGGACTCGGGCAGTGGCTTTTCAGGTGTGTGGGCTGAGAACTGGGGAGTTGGTGAATTCTGGGGCCCCTGGGGTAGCCATTCGGGAATGGCAGCAGCTCCCCCAACCGCAGATGCTCACTGCCCACAGAAGCGGCCACGTGTTTGAATGAAGAGCAGTTAGAGGAACATTTGCAAGAGAATGTGTTTACTCACTGAGGTTATGACAACACAGAAAATAACAACTCTTTCTGTAGAAAATGTGATACTAATGAGGAAAAGGTCACTTTGATTAAATGGCAATTAGAAATAACAACATTGCAAGGCCGGGTGCAGCAGCTCACGGCTATAATCCCAGCACTTTAGGAGGCCGAGGCGGGTGGATCACTTGAGGTCAGGAGTTCGAGACCAGCCTGGGCAACATGGTGAAACCCTGTCTCTACTGAAAATACAAGAATTAGCCATGCATGGTGGTGCATGCCTATAGTCCCAGATACTCAGGAGGCTGAGGCAGGAGAATCTCTGGAATCCAAGAGGCAGAAGTTGCACCGAGCCAAGACTGTGCCACCGCACTCCAGCCTGGGCAACAGAGCGAGACTCTGTGTAAAAAATAGAAAAAAGGAAAAAAGGAAAGACATAGTAAAACAAATTTTAAAAATAAAAACAGGTGAGAGATAGGGGTTGGGTATTTTCAATTTGTGTGCCAGCCTAAGGGTGAATGTCTGATACAATCAGAGCTGGTGCAGGGGCCATGCCTGTAATCCCAGCGTATCCAGAGGCCAAGGCCGGAGGATCGCCTCAGCCTAGGAGGTCAAGTCTGCAGTGAGTCATGATTACACCACTGCAGTCCGGCGAGATCCTGTCTGTAATATAAATAAATGTAAAAGTCTGTGTATTCAGAGACTCCTCCCAATCAGTAGGAAATAGAAAAATTCCAGCGGAAAATGGATGAGGGCAGCGGCGTTTGGGTATAGACAGAGCGATGTATGAGAACCGGGGTGCCCCTCCCGGGTTCTCATGGGTGCAGCAGTCACCGCCGGTAACCACTGGCCTGGCCTGCACCGAGCCCTGCACCAGCCATGTTGAGGGAGCCTGAGCCTGTCCCTTCATATGGAACAGAAACGGCCATACCAGTCTCGATGGTGCTTTGGCAGTTTCTCTGGAAATCTGAAACCTGCGGTCTTCGGCCCAGCCCCACCCTGGGCCTGCATGTGGCTGCGTGTCGTAGAGAAGCATCTGCCCTGATGGTGACCTGATGGGAGCAGCAGTTTCAGAGTAAGCCACACCTGTGCACGAGGTCTGGAAAGGTAAGTGCGATGTCACTGAGTCCTGAGCACAGGAGAAGCAGGTAGCGGAACTGCATGGCCGGAGTTGGGCCTGGCAGGCCCCTTCCTGACCCCCAAGAGCTGGCTGCCACCAGCAGCCTCCTGGTGTCCTGGGGTCTGTTTCTAGCCCGGTGGCAGCCGAGCTTCCTGGGCACCCGGCTTTCCCCAGGCCTGCTCTGAGCACTGGAGTTGAGGGCACTGAGCAGAGGGGGGCTGAGCCCCTGGCAGTGCAGGGGACACACCAGTGGGTACTGGCTGGGGGTGGCTTCTGGGAGGCTGCTGGGTCCTGATCTAAAGGAGCACAGCTGGCTGTACCCACCTCCTGCAGACTTCCTCCGTGGGAGACCGAGGCAGTAGGCAGGGTGGAGCAGCCACGTGGCAGCCACGAGGGGGACAGGAAGGTAGACCCTGCTGGCCTGTGGACCTGTGGATGACGTGGCCGCCACGTGGTAAAGCGTACACGCTAGTGGCTCTGGCGCTGCAGCTGAGCACAGGCCAACCTGGTACGTGGCTGCGGTCGGGGCATGGGGTCTCCAAGCCGTGTTGAGATTCCTGTAGTGAGAACACATTCACCTAATACGTTGTTAAAAATATATTCAGTAAGGAGAAGGGCAAGGTCCGGAAAAAAGTGCATTAAGAAACGTGCCCGGGCAAGTGAGTAAAGCCTCGTCAGGGGGCAGCTTGCACTTCCCAGCTCAGCTGGGTCTTCAGCCTCTGCAGCTGGTTGAGCCCAGAGCCCGAAGGAGGCCCTCGGCCGGTGCACGTTTCATCTTCTCAGAACTTATCTCGATGAGATAAAAAAATATTCATCGCGGAAGAGCCAACGCGGGAAGCAACCTTAAGGCCGCACACAAGAATATTCTTCATGTTCACATGAATCGATCGCCGTCTGATCCGAATGTGCGGGAGGTGACGTGCCACAGTTCAGAATCAACTTTTCAAAGCCCATGGCCGATGCTCAGAGCGAAAGCAAGCTGTTGCCTGCGTACACACAAGCCCGTGTGGTGTGTCTCTCCAGCCTGTCCATGCCGAGCCTCTGTGTGCACACCGTGGGAGCAGCCCCTGCATGTCCAGCTGTCCAGGCCGGGCCCCCGGGCTCATGTCTGGCGCCAGGCCTGTCCCTTACCCCATGGCCCATCTCCCACTGCGCCTCTGCCCACCACTCGCATGCACCGCGCCTCCTGCCCACAGTGGGTGCCGACGAAGCACCTGCAAGCGACTCCCTCTTAGCTGCAGCTGTTCTGCCAAGCTGCCCAAGGCACCTCCTGGGTGTGTGGGCGCCCATCTCCAATCCACACAGCGCAGGGGTCTTTCTGGCTGCACCGCTCGCCGCTACCCACGGCCGTGCACCAGTCACCCACTGCTGGCCTCTGCCCGTGCTGTCCTCCTTATGGCCTCACCCAGTCCACACTACATCTGGTCAGGTCTGGTACACCAGGGGTCGCCCCGTCCACACTGTGTCTGGCGCACCAGGGGTCTGCACGGATGCAGCCTCAAAGCCTTCCCAGGAGGCCCGGGGCAGCCATCAGCCCTGTCTGAACTGATGAGTGCTACGCCCATTCCTCTGCGATCTGGGCAGATGCCTCCCTGCCTCCTGCGGCCGAGCTGCTCCAACTTTCCCTTTGTCCTGGAGAACGCCTAGGCCAACCCGGGGCTCCCCTGCCGTGCTGCCCAGCCTCTGCCATGGCCCTGGTCTGTGTGGTCCCCCATGGTCCTATCCTCTAGGTCCCCTGCAGTGGGCAGGAGGGAAGGGAGGCTGTGCCAGCCTCAAAAGGAACCATCTGTTCTGGCCGAGCTGGAGGTCCGGGCACTGGAGGAGAAGGGGTTGCAGCTGGGTGGTGAGCGTCTTCCTGGGGGCTGCCCTCACCCCCCCCAACATGTGCCTGCCCAACACCAGCTGCTCTACCCAGGGCCCGGGCAGAGTCAGCTCCCACAGGACACCCTGCGGTCCAGCAACCCAGGCACTGCCGCCCAGGATCGGCAGGCTCCACGTACGGCGGGAAGGGAGGGAAAGACACTGCCTAGGCCCCGGCGAGCTCTGTGCTGAGCCCGTGGTGGTGGTCGGTCAGGAGTACCTGGGGCCCCGCTGGCAGGGGGTGGGTGGAAGTCACGTCTTCACGGGAGGCTCAGTGGTGTCTCCCGGGACTCAGACGTGCCCATGTGGACGAGGCCTGCGCGTCCTGGTGTCCTGAGCTGTGGCTGTTTGCATAGAGCCCCTCTGCACCCACGGTGGGTGTTGTCACGCACGAGTGTGGGATGCGTGAGTGTGGGATGCACGAGTGTGGATGCACGTGTGTGGGTGGGTGTTTTCAGGTGTGGGTAGATGCACAGGTGGTGCGCACACACCCCCACCCTGTGCCCAGTGCCGCGCGCGGTTCTTCTGCCTAGGGCACTTCCTCCACCTATGTGCCTCTGCACCCCACGCTGCCCCGCCCTCCCTGGACTGGGGGTAACTGGGAGCCCTTGGTAGGGCGGGGTTGGCGGTGACCACAGCAACACCTGGTGCTGGCTGAGTGGAGGCGCCAGGGTTGGGCTGCTGTGCTGTGTGCTGGGTCTGCATTTGTCGGAATTCGTTCCGGTCTAGAATTTGTCATGGAAACTGAAATTACAAGCATGACTGTTATGAACATAGCTCAAATCCAAGCCTTGCTAGCCATGCTGTGCCCACTGTGGGCAGCATTTCTGGGCGGGTTCTCAGGCGACACGGGGGCAGTGTGTGCTCCTGTGGTGGTGTCCTTGTGGCTGGGTGGCCCCTGTCTGTCTCTGCCCACGTGCTTGTGTGCCCCAGGGACTTACCACTTTCTACCCGCACCCCTGGGCCTGCAGGTCTCAGGTGCCCCGGCCGCCCCCACCCAGCCGCGCCTGCTCAGCATCCTTCCTGGGTGTGACTGCACCCCCCGTCCTGTGTCCTTGCCTGGTGCAACCCCATTTCTTCCACAAGGCTGGGCAGAGTCTCAGGGTGGGGCGCACACTCAAAAGGAAACATCTCAGCTGCCACAGTGGGAAGCAGGTGACTCTGACCAGTGCCAGCCTGCAGCCTACACGTGGCTGAGGATGCTGCGGCGGGAATTGCTGGGACTCCGGATGCCTGGGCAGGGGTTGAGGGGTAGCGCAGGGTGGGGAGGTGTTCATGTGGCCTCCCCCAGTGTCCAGGCTGGTGCTTGGGGAACAGAGCCTGAGGGCCACAGACTAGTTTCCCAGCCAGGCTCAGCCCCACCCCCGAAGGCCAAGCTTGAGGCTCTCCAGGCGCCAGGCTCAGCCCGTGTGTTTTCTCCTCGCTGTAGGTCCTGAACGAGGCCGTGGGGGCCCTGATGTACCACACTATCACACTCACCAGGGAGGACCTGGAGAAGTTCAAAGCCCTCCGCATCATCGTCCGGATCGGCAGTGGTTTTGACAACATTGACATCAAGTCGGCCGGGGATTTAGGTAGGCCGGCTCCGAATTATCTCCTGTGCCCATGCATGCAAGCTCCGTCCCGTCTTGCTTCATCCATGGAGGCTTCACTGCCACACCAAGGACCCCGTTGCACATCGCCTGGTATGGCTGGCTGTGGCGTGCAGTCCCATCTAGGGCCAGCGTGAGGCTGCAGCCGTTCTGTTCCTCACACAGCCTCACCTCAGGGCACTTCCTCTCTTTTGGGCAGTAGGAAATCCAGCTGCGACTTCACACAGGTCTGCATGCATGTCTAGCTGGTGCCCGTTGCTTGGGTATCGGGGCCCTGGGGGTGAGGGGCAGGGGCGTCAGAGTGTGGCTGTAATAGGGCTCATAGGTCTCTGTCCCAAGACACAGGGGGAACAGCGGGGTGTGTCGCAACCCAGTACACATGCACTCAGCACGTGGAACACACACACACAACACGCACATCTGCACCCGTGCACGTGCACTCAGCACAATGCACGTGCACTCAGCACACAGAACATGTACACTCAACAGAGCATGCACACACATCTGCACCCGTGCACGTGCGGTCAGCACGCAGAACACACACATCTGCACCCATGCACGTGCACTAAGTACTCGGAATGTGCACACTCAGCACACAGAACATGCACATGCATCTGCACCTGTTCATGTACCCTCAGCACATGGAACACTCAGAGGACACGCACGTCCGCACCTGTGCACGTGCACTTAGCACACGGAACACGCACACAGCACACAGAACACGCAGACGTGTCTGCACCTATGCTCATGTACTCAGCACATGGAACACTCACAGAACACGCACGTCCGTACCCATGCACCTACACACGCACACGGAACGTGCCCACGTGTCTGCACCCATGCGCACTCATTAGAACAAACTCAGGGCGGTGCTTGGCCGTCCTGCGTGGAGCGCACTTTGTTTTCTGCCAGGCTCCGTCTGTTGTGGGTTGTTTTTGTTGGTTTTTTTTTTTTGAGACGGAGTCTCGCTCTGTTGCCCAGGCTGGAGTGCAGTGGCGCGATCTCGGCTCACTGCTGCTTCCGCCGGTGCCCATGGGCCAAAGCCGTGTGCCAGCCGCCTCCCGCCTTTGTCTCTGTGGCGGCATCCTGGGAAAGGCCGGCTGTGGTGTCAGGCGCAGGCCCGGCTGTGCGGTGTTGGGTGCAGTCCTGGCTGTGCGGTGTCGGGTGCAGGCCTGGTGCTTTCTGAGCGACCCCTGCTGTTTACCATCTCCGTTGCCCATGGAGTTTCCCAGGCCCGGGCTCTGTTCTTCAGCCAGGGACAGTCTGGGGCACCGCTGGGATCTGGCCCACACTCCAACGTCCCACAGTCAGGAGGCCTTTCTTCCAATCTCGTGTGGTGCTTGGCTTGGCTCTCCCTCAGTCTCCCTTGTTTAACGTTTTTACGTCCAAGTGAGTTGTGTCTGGGGCGATGTGGGATCCCAGCCTTGGCCTTGTGCAGCGCCTGCCCGCGCTGCCCCACGTCAGGCCCCCTCCCGACCCTCGGAACCCCTCACGGAACCACACGGTCCTGTCCAGCCTCCGGGCATATGAATGCAGCCCTGTCCTGGCCTCCTGCCCCTTCCTCCTCCCCAGAGAGACAGACGGCCAGTTGGACGGCCAGTCAGACACAGGAGTGCAATCATCTGAATGGGGCGGGAAGTGCCGTGCAGGGGAGGCGCTGGCCAGGGACAGGCCAGGGATGAGGATAAATAGGCTCAGGGAGGGGCCCTGGCCGGGGAAGGGCCTGCCTCTGGGACAAGGCTGGGAGCGGGCAGTAGGGGTTACACTCGAGAGAAATAGGATGGATTTGCTTTCTAGGAATGGCTCCAGCTTCAGTGTTATTGACTGCGGGGTGTAGGGCATGGAGGGCGGAAGGGGCTGCGGGGGCCTGGCTTGGCCTGGGGGAGGCCTGAGGACATGTGCGGATGTCCATGTAGGGGTGTGCAGGTGGGGCCAGCACCCAGATTCTGACCTGGCCGCAGCCTCCCCGCAGGGTCCCCCTGGAGGAATCAGGGCATCGAGGTGACACGGGGAGACATGTGCTTGTCTCTGCATGGGCTCCCAATGCTGAGTTGGGAGGGGTCAGGGCAGCGTCTCACGCCCCGGCCCCACCACACACCGAGCAGTTTGCTAGCGTGTGCTGCCACGTGAACCTAAAGTGGAGGTGGGGCTCCAGCCACAGGGCACAGGCGCCAGGCCAGGTGCTCTGTTGCCCCCGAGCCTGGGAGATGTGCGTTCATTTCGTGGCCTCCCAGGGTGGCCTTGGGGACGTGGCCTTTGGCTTCTTCCTCGGGAAGCTTCAAACCTGCTCCAGCCACAGTAGCCCTGGTGTCCTCCCAGAGGCTGGGCCTGGCCTGGAGGTGACCGCCGTGTCCTTGTCCCCACAGGCATCGCCGTCTGCAACGTGCCTGCGGCGTCTGTGGAGGAGACGGCCGACTCGACGCTGTGCCACATCCTGAACCTGTACCGGCGGGCCACCTGGCTGCACCAGGCATTGCGGGAGGGCACGCGAGTCCAGAGCGTCGAGCAGATCCGCGAGGTGGCGTCCGGCGCCGCCAGGATCCGTGGGGAGACCTTGGGCATCATCGGACTCGGTGCGTCAGCCACAGCTCCATGCCCGTGACCCTCCCTGTGCCTGGCGCTGCTGCTCTTCAGCCGTGCCCAGAAGGAGAGGCCCAGGGCGGGGCGGGGCTGCGGGTGTCGGTCCCAACCCAGGACAGGACTGAGTGCAGCCCAGGCACCAGGGCCCAGGAATCCCAGGCTGTGTGCCCTACGTACGCGGACGTCACAGCACACATGTGGGCCTTACACGGGCACACACGGATGTCACAGCACACGTGGATGTCACAGCACACGCGGATGTCACAGCACACACAGCCTCACACAGACATCACACATATGGGTCTCACACTGGCCTTCACAGATATCACAACACCACAGCACACGTGTGAGCCTCACACAGACAGCACGGCACACACTGACATCACACACGGACGTCACAGCACACATACAGGCCTGCACGGATGGCACATGTGCCACAGCACACGTGGCCTCACAGATGCCACAGTACACATGACCGCATGGGCACACACAGACATGACACATGGACGTCACAGCACACACATGGACCTCAAGGGCACACACATAATACACGGATGTCACAGCACATAGCCTCACACAGATATCACAATACCCACGTGGGTCTCACACCGGCCTGCATGGACGTCATAGCACACACGGCCTGTACAGATATCACATAGAACACCACAGCACACATGGGCCTCACGCAGACATCACTGCACACACAGACATCATACACGGATGTCACAGCACACATGTGGGCCTCACACAGGCCTGCACTGATGTCCCACATGCCACAGCACACGTGTGGGCCTCAGACATCACACATGGACATCACAACACACACGTGGGCCTTACACAGGTACACACAGACAACACAGACGTCATAGCACCCACAGCCTCACACAGCACACACATGGGCCTCAGGCCTGCGCAGACATCACACGGACGCCACACACACGTGAACTCCACACAGACATCACATGTGGATGTCACAGCACACACGGGCCACACGGGGACATGCAGATGTCACGGCACACATGGATATCACACGGCACACATGGGCATCACACGGATATCACAGCATACACGATACCACGTGGACACACACCAGTGTCAGTCATGGGCACATGGGCATACAGACACGGGCATACGTGTGGGCACACACATCAACCACGGTCTAGCACGCGCTCACCCCTTGAGGCCTCTGGGGCTGGCTGCGTGGATCCTGCTGGGGCTGGGGTTCGGGCAGCCGCGGGCTTCCTCCGCTGTCACCAGCAGCCGGCCCTGCGCCCGGGGAGTGGTTTGCCCCTCAGTGACCCCTTGCTCTTCATTTGCCCACTCGCTCTGCAGCCGCCTGTCCTGGGCCCAGCACCGTCCTGGGTCCAGCATGCAGCAGTGAGCAGGCCCCACACAGCCAGGCCCAGGTTGAGCTCAGAGCAGCAAGCGTGTGTGTGTGTGTGTGCGCGTGTGTGTGATCCTAGAGTGGAGCCATGTCTTGAGAGAGAGGAGCTGGGAGAGGCCAAGCGAGGTCACGGGGGAGCATCTGGGTGGGGCCCAGGTGTGAGGTGGGAAGTGGGAAGGTGCTCCTGTAGAGGGTTCTTAGAGAGGGTGGGTGGGGGGTGGTGTCCCTTTTCTGAAGACTCCCTGGACACCTTGGCCCAGGTGCCTGTCTCCCCAGATCGTGGGTTCCTAGGAGCTGCCTGCGCCATTCCCCAGGAGGCCCCGTGGGGATGCGAGGACCTTGCCGTGCCGGGGATTCCCCTTGACCGGCCGGCCCCCCGCTTCCCAAACATCCAGGCAGCCCACTCCTGCTGACCGCTGTCCTTGTCCCGGCAGCGTGTGGGGAATCAGATGTTTCGGGTGGTCTCGGTGAGGCAGACACACCTGGGTTAGTGGGAGAGGTTGGCTCACGGATGTGCATGGAACACGTGCTTGTTTCTTCCTGGACACATCTCTCACGGCCTTGCTGGTGCCCCCACCAGGACCCCAGGGCTGGCTGGAACCTGTGAGGATCCCGGAGCCCTGAGGTGCCCATTCCTCATACTCTGCCCTTCTGAGGCCTGGGCGGCCCCTCCCGCCTCAGGGCCATGGCCCGTGTGTGGTTTGTTGAAGGAGGGAAGGAGGGAGAGTGGGTAGGTCGGGGCAGAGGTCAGAAGGGGCCGGGGACTCAGGGCTCTGTGGACTTTCAGCTCCATGGGCTGTCCACCGGCCTTGTGCAGGAGCAGTGCCTCAGCTGTCTCCAGAGCAAGCCCACAGGGTGGGAGGGGCCTCATGTGTGCCTTGCCTGCAGGGCGCCGCCTGTCCCGCAGCCACAGGTCTGACACCTCACCTGGGGTGTATGAGGGACTGGGATGTGGGGGGTTGTGGGCTATGTCTGTGTGTGGCCAGGGATGTCTGTAGTTCCCCTGGTAAGAGCAGGTGGGTGTGTGGTCTCCAGAGTCCTGTAACCTGTCTCTCCTGGGTTTGGGGTCTGTGGTTCCAGCCCTGAAGGCCCCACCCTCCCCGTGGCCACTCTGAGGCCTGAGGGTGGTGCCTGCCCAGGCTGAGTGTGGAACTGGGCCCAGCCGGCCCCTTCCAGGGCCCCGTGCTGAGTGGGGGTTGGAGCACCCAGGTCAGGATGCCCTCAGAGAGCAGGGCTGTGGCCACCCCCTTCCTTGAGGACCCCACCTGCCAAAGCCCCCACCCAGGCCTGGCCTGAGGAGTGCGGGTGGCTCCTGGCGTCCTGGGGAGTGCAGGGTGGACCTGGCAGGTTGTGGGGGTCTGCCATGGGCGTTCTCCCCTGCAGTGGCCCAGGTCGTCCTGTGGGCTCTCAGGCCGGCGTCCCTGGAGCGGCTGGGCTGCTTCCCTTGCTCTGGGCGCGGGCCCCTCTGCCTGTGGTGAACTCGTGGTGACCCAGGCCAGGTCAAAGCTCCTTCGGCCTTGGGAGCTGAGGAGAGCAGTTCCGTCCTTAGGGACACAAGTCCCCTGACGCTGCAGCCTCTACCTCATGGACAGGGACCCCTACCCCAGCCTGGCCGCCCACCTGGCACCTGCGCCCCCCTGCCCCTCACCCTTGTCCCTGAACCCCATCCCCACCCTCTGGGAGAGCCTCGTGCTCTGGGTGGGGCCCGTGCTGGGCACCAGCCACTCAGGCTCTCCCAGGGTGTGCCTGTCCCGATCTGCCCTCTGCTGGGCACACCCTGTGTCTGGGTTGTTCTTAGCGTGGAATCCACGCGTGTGGTGACTACAGGAACGTGGAAGCCCTGGGCAGTGTGTGGTTCACGGTGTTGCTGCCACTCGGTGCGACGAGGCGGTGGCCGCCTCTGCTCTACGAGGCTCTGGTGCTGTGACTTACGTCTGCTTCTTGTTTTTTTCTTTCCTCCCTCCTTCCTTCCTTCCTTCTGAAAAATGCACTATCTTAGGTGCACACAGGAAAACATTGTACAAAGAACCCACCAGCACGTCAGCAGAGCAGGCTTCTGCACACAGCTGCCTCAGGCCCCTTCTCTCGCCGCGGCCCCACAGTGACCCGGGTCCCGCTTCCTAGAGCAGAGGGCCTTCCCCGGCTCTGCCGAGGTGGGATCGCGGGCACGCAGCCTTCTGTGTCGGCCTCGCGTCAGTCGGGGTGATGCCTCCGGGTCTCATCTGTGTTTTCGCATGACCCACAGTTTCTGATAACGTGAACACAGCACGATTCGCTTCTCCAGACTCTTGGTGATGCATTTTCTAAGCTTTTGGCCAATATCACAAACAAAACTTCTGTGAACACATTTCTGCCCGTCTTTTTTGTGCACATAGACGGCTCATGCCTCTTGGGTTTGTACCTAGGAGTGGAGTTTCTGAGTCCCAGAGCAGGACGTTTTTTCACGTGGAAGGAGTTGCCTTTCTTCAGGCAGGTGCACAGCGTCACGCCCGGCAGCCGCATATCCTTGCCAGCACTCCGTGTTGGAGTCTGTGTAATTCTAGCCCTTCCAGCAGGAATTTTGTAATATTTTTATTTTAACCTACAGTTTCCTGATAACTGAGGGAGTCGAGCACCTCTTTATACCCCTGGCCACTGGGAGCACCTTCTTTTGCATGTTGGTTACGAAGCCCTCATGTAGTCTGCATCTGGTTCTTGTCAGATCGACACACACTGTGGATATTTTTATAATTTCAAAATGCTTGTTTTTACATATTTACCAATATCTCAGGCCGTGGCTTGACTTTTCACTTTCTTGACATCTCTCTGACGAGAACACGTTTTCAGTTTTTATGAAGCCCAGCGTATCACCCGTTTTTTCGGTGAATACCTTTTGTGTCCTGAGGAATCTCTGTTTACCCCAGGGTCATCCAGGTTCTCTGTGTTTTCTTCTGGAAGCTTCTACCTCTAGGTCCAGGGTCTTCTGGGTTGCCACTGAGGCGTGGTGTGAGGCTGGGGTCATGGCCCGCCCTTTCCCGGGATGGCAGGTCCCTGCGGCACGATGCGCCGAGGCGCCCTCCTTCCCGTTGGCGTGGCTCCTCTGCGGAAAGGCAGTTGGCCACATGTGAGTGGGTCTGTCTGGACTCCTCTGTTCCGTGGACCTGTTTTTCTTCCCTTTCTCCCGTGTTACACTGTCTGCACGGCTGTGAGCCTTGAGATCTTCCACCGTGTTCTTCACAAGGGTCTTGGCTGTTTTAGGTCCTGCTATGCATTTCCGTTTCCATTCTGGAATCAGCTCGTCAATTTTCATTTTGTTGAGTCCTTAAAATCAGTTTTGGGAACGCTGACTTCCTAATAATATTGAATCTTCAGGACACAAATACCATGTCTCCATTTATTTTCACTTTTCTTAACAGTGTTTCATCGTTATCAGTAGAAGGTTTCAACAGTGTTTCATCGTTATCAGTAGAAGGTTTCCACATAGTTCATTAAGTTTATCGTTAGGCATTTGGCATTTGTAATGCTGTTACAAATTTTGTTGTTGTTGTTGTTTCTTTGTTTTTTTGAGACGGTCTCAGTCTGTCACCCAGGCTGGAGTACAGTGGCGTGATTTCAGCACACTGCAATCTCTGCCTTTTTTTTTCTTTTTGAAACGGAGTCTCACTCTGTCGCCTAGGCTGGAGTACAGTGGTGTGATTTCAGCTCACTGCAACCTCCGCTTCCTGGGTTCAAACGATTCTCCTACCTCAGCCTCCTGAGTAGCTGGGATTACAGACGCATGCCACTACACCTGGTTAATTTTTGTACTTTTAGTAGAGACAGGGTTTCGCCATGTTGGCCAGGCTCGAACTCCTGACTTCAAGTGATCCACCCGCCTTGGCCTCCCAAAGTATTGGGATTACAGGCATGAGCCACTGTGCCCAGCCTAATTGTTTCTTGATGTTTGGTTATTAGTAGGTAGAAATACACTTCAGTTTTGTAAACCAACCTCATATCCCACAGCCTTCTAAATTCTCCATATTAGGCTGGGTGCAGTGGCTTGTGCCTGCTATTGTAGTGAGTTATGAGGCCAAGGCCGGAGGATCACCAGGAGTTAGAGACCAGCCTGGATGGCATAATGAGACCTGCCTCTGCCAAAAACAGATTCTCTTGAATTTTCTCTTGCACACACTGCTGTGTCACCTGCAGATAAACACAGATTTACATTTTCCTTTCTGATCTCTGTGCCTTTTATTTAATTTCTTTATTTTTGCCTTTTTTGCATTAGCTACAATCGTCAGTAGCAGTGACTTGCAGGTATTACTGTCTTGATGTGGGAGAAAAAGTTTTTGATATTTCACCATTAAGTAGGACGTTTGCTTTCGTGTTTTTGTGGTCTAACTAATTGGTCTGATGTTGAGGTAACCATCCCAGCTCTTTTGATCAGTGTTTATGTGGTATGTCTTTTTTCATCCTTTTAATTTCAGCTTATCTCTGTTCTTATATTTATCATTCAGATGAATGGTCTTGCTCTGTCACTCAGGCTGGAGTGTGGTGGTGCAGTCATGACTCACTGCAGCCTTGAGCACTGGGGCTCAAGAGATCCTCTTGCCTTAGCCTCCGAAGTAGTTAGGACTATAGGTGTGTGCCACTGCGATTTTTAAAAATTTATTATTATTATTATTATTATTATTATTTTGGTAGAGACAAGGTCTTGCTGTGTTGCCCAGGATGGTCTTAAACTCCTGGGCTCAAGTGGTCACCCTGCCTTGGCCTCCCAAAATGCTGGGATTACCGGTGTGAGCCATGGCGCCTGGCTTCTGTATGTGCGTTTAAAGTGTGTCTGTTATTAATAGTTCTATAGTTGGTTCCGCTTTCTTTTTTCAGTCTGACAGTCTTTGCCTCTTGAGTGTTCCGTTCATTTAGTTTTAGTGTAATTGCTGCTCATTTGGATTTCAGTGTCGTCTGGCTACATGTTTTCTGTTCATCCTTGTTTTTCCTTTCTGGCCTTCTTGTATGTTAATCAAGTGTTAAATGATTCCTCGCATCTGTTGTTGCTTTTTAATCTATACCGACTGCTTAGTGATCGTGTTTAGTTTTACTTTAGAGATTAGGATATGCCTTCGTAACTCACTGCCATCCGGCATAACCTGTGAAGCCTCGTCGAGGGCGGTAAGAGGCCTGCGGAGGCTCCTCTCACCCTTGGGCTGCTGCCCTCGGGCCCATTTTCTACGTCTGTTGTGCGGAAAACCATACAAGAAGCTGTCAGTCATGAGTGTTTCAACGTCAGGCCGATTTTCCACGTCTGTTAGGCAGTAAACCATACAAGAAGCTGTCAGTCATGAGTGTTTCAAGGAATTTTTCAGTAATTTTTGTTTTTGAATATTGACCGACACATCCACCCTTTCTGCCTCGTTTATCCCACCCCCGATTCTGGCTGTCGTCGGGCATCACGTTCCTGTAGCCTACAGACCCTGTTAGAAACGTGGCTCACCAGTGAACGATTCCCTCCGCTTTTGTCTGAAAATGTGTTTTGCCTTTTTTTTTTTTTTTGGTAGAAGATCGAGTCTCGCTCTGTCGCTCAGGCTGGAGTATGGTGGCGCGATCTCGGATCACTGCAATCTCCACCTCCTGGGTTCACGCCATTCTCCTGCCTCAGCCTCCGGAGTAGCTGGGACTACAGGCGCCCGCCACCTCGCCCGGCTGACTTTTTGTATTTTTAGTAGAGACGGGGTTTCACCATGGTGGCCAGGCTGGTCTCGAACTCCTGACCTCGTGATCCGCCCGCCTCGGCCTCCCAGAGTGCTGGGATTACAGGCGTGAGCCACCACAGCCTGTTCTTTAAAAAAAGTTTGATTTTTTTTTGTTTTTTTTTTTTTTTGAGACGGAGTCTCGCTGTGTCGCCCAGGCTGGAATGCAGTGGCTGGATCTCAGCTCATTGCAAGCTCCGCCTCCCGGGTTTTTACGCCATTCTCCTGCCTCAGCCTCCCGAGTAGCTGGGACTACAGGCGCCCACCACCTCGCCCGGCTAGTTTTTTGTATTTTTTAGTAGAGACGGGGTTTCACCGTGTTAGCCAGGATGGTCTCGAACTCCTGACCTCGTGATCCGCCCGTCTCGGCCTCCCAAAGTGCTGGGATTACAGGCTTGAGCCACCGCGCCCGGCCTAAAAAAAGTTTTTTTAATTCTTTTCTCTCTGCTTCTGTTTGGATGCCATCTGCTGACTTTGAGCCCCAGCCTTCAAGCTCCCGATCCTTTTCTTGCTGTTAGCTTCGTCCAGGGAGTTCCATTTCAGAGGGATGTTTTTGTTCTGGAATTTCTATGTGGTTCTTTATAGAGTTGCCATTCGTCTTCCAGAATCCTCCATTTTTCTGCTGTTTACATCAACACTTGCTGTCATCTCTGAGCATGTTTATAGTAGTTATTTAGGAGCTTTTGCTGGCTGATTCCAGCCTTGGTCATCTGCAGGTCTGTCCGCTTCTAGTGTTTTATTCTAATTAGAAGCCACATCTTCCTACCTCTTCACCTGCATCATCATAATTTCTTATCATAAGCCAGACATCGTATGGAAAAGAATGGCAGAGACTAAAGTGAAGAACCATCTCGCCCCAGCAGCCACTGCTGTCCTGTGTCAGGTGTGGCCGGCGCTGGCCTGCGCCTCTAGCTGGTTTTCGCCACCGGCAGCCGGACTCCCTGGGGCTTTCTGTTGAGCAGAGTGGGAAACAGCGTCTTTTCTGCTTCCTGCGCTGTGGGAGGTGCCTTTCTCTGTGTCTGCCTATCTGCCTTCCTTCCTCCCTCTCCTGCCCGTTCGGTGGGATCCCTGGCAGGGGGTGCTGCCAGACGGGGGCTGTTCCTGCATCTGGGGAGCTGCCCGGGTACTCCGGCCGTGACTGACCTCGGAACTGCTTCTCCCACCTCGGCCTGCCGAGCCCTCCTCCCCGGACCGGTTGCCTCCTGCAGCAGCCTCGTCCCTGGGGATGAAAGGAGCCGCCATATTCCTTCTGGTAGAACAGGCGCCTGCCTTTCTAGGATGTAGTGTATTTAGACGGTCCTCAGCTCTTCTGACTGGCCTCCCAGCCTCCCCCAGGCTGTTCCCAAGTGACTGGGAGTCCCCTGGGCGTTTGGGCCACATCTGGCTGCCCTGTCTGCCTGGCGGTCTGGTCCCCTTGGCCCTCAGGCCGCCGCCACCGTGGGCCCCTCACACGTGTTGTTCCAGCTCTTCGGCTCCCTTCCCATCCCCTCATGTCTCCAACAAGCTTGGTCTTCTCAGGGATGCCTGCCCTGGCTGCCACCTCTGTAACTGCACCCGCTTCCCACCTGCCCCAGCGCCCAGCCGGCTTCCTTCCTGTGCAGCGGTTCCCTCTGAGGCGATGCAGGAGACACCACATTGGCGGGCTTGGGTTCCTGTGTCCTTCACAGCCGCGTCTGGGCTTCTGAGGTCCTGTGTCCTTCGCAGCCGCGTCTGGGCTTCTGAGGTCCTGTGTCCTTCGCAGCCGCGTCTGGGCTTCCGGGGTCCTGTGTCCCTTGCAGCCGTGCTGTTGGCTCACGGTGGGCGCATGCACCCTGCCGACCCTTCCCCGGGGAGGAAATGGTGGCTCTGGCTCCGTGGCTCCTGTGCTGGGGCCCACGCCAGCCTTGGACTGCTGGGGTCGGGGCAGGCACGTCTGCCCGGGATGGCTTTCTCTGCCACTCCACTGGAAGGGGACAGGACATGAGCCCAGCGGGGCCTCCCTGGTCTGGAAGGTTCCCTCCCGCCCCCTTTGCCATCTCCACCTAGTCGTGGCTGGAACTGAGATGCCAGAGACATCGATGGGTGGACCGGAAAGCAGGCCAGTGGAGGGACCTGGGCACATAGGGCGTGTGTGGGGTGAGTGGAGACCCGCTGACGGTCCGTTTGACACTGAGTGGTTCGTGTCACGTCCTGTGGACAGGCTGCGGGGGGGCGTGGCTGGCAGCTGGTGTGGGCCGAGGGGCTCGTGCACCCTTTCCCCCCCGTGCACAGCCTCCACCTTGGCAGTGGGCGCATCGGGAGCAGACACCTCGTGTGGAGATACCTCGCGCCGGCACCTTGGCTTGACCACAGCTGGTGTCCTTGGCAGATGGTCAAACTGAGGCACAGGGGCCACTCCGATCCTGGCTGTCAGGGCTAGCCTCCCAGCCACGGGTGAGCGAGGGTTTCACACTGTGTCCTGACACCACCAGGTCGCGTGGGGCAGGCGGTGGCGCTGCGGGCCAAGGCCTTCGGCTTCAACGTGCTCTTCTACGACCCTTACCTGTCGGACGGCGTGGAGCGGGCGCTGGGGCTGCAGCGGGTCAGCACCCTGCAGGACCTGCTTTTCCACAGCGACTGCGTGAGCCTGCACTGCGGCCTCAACGAGCACAACCACCACCTCATCAACGACTTCACCGTCAAGCAGGTGCGTGGAGCCGGGGCACAGGGCTCTCCTTCTGCGGGGCAGGCACAGGTGGGGGTGTCAGGAAGGTCCCTCCCAGCAACCACCTGCACCTGGGCGAGACCCTGCCTTCAGTGAGCCACATGGCGGCGGTGCCGGCCCTGCTGGGGGAAGCCCTGTCTGCCCAGACGGCGTTTTCCATGTTCTGAGTTCTACCCAGGATGCCTGAAATACTCTGGATAAGACAGAACCACATACCTTTGAATCCTAAATTCCCCTGAAGCTCTTGCCACTGTCACAGTGGAGATGATGCAGCTACCTGGGGGCATTGGGCCTGCCCTTCTGACTTCCATCCTGTGCTGCCAGGTTCAGGTTTCACATCTGCAGCTGGAGAGGGCTGTGCTCAGGTCGGCCTCTGCCTCAGCTCAGCGCAGAGCGCAGCCTCAGCCCGTGTTTCCCTCGGGTGGGCGGAGCTCGGGTGGGCGGAGCTCGGGACGGCTGCCTCCCGCTGGCTGTTGGCCTTTCAGGGAGTCGTTATGTGTGCACGGTGATGTGTGTGTATGTGGGCAAGTGTGTGTGGGTGCCTGTGTCTGCCCGTTTGAGCTTGTGTGTGCGTGTGTGTACACATGTGTCAGAGGCCACCCACCCACTCAAGCTGCCCCAGCAGCCTGTAGCCACAGGGAGGATGAAACCAGGTGCCCACCTCCCCTTCCTTTGTTCACAGAGCCAGTGGGTTTGGAGCCTTCTAGTGGACAGGGTGTGGCACGTGGATGCTGGTCAGGGCCCTGCCATCCCTGAGGACCTTGGGTGTGAGGCTGCAATGGGCAGCAACTCACCAAAGAAAAGCCACCGTGACCCACCCGGCTGCCACCCAAGCGCAATGGCTGGGTGGGCTTCCTCGGAATGAAATGGGGGGGTTGCAGGAAAGCCCTGGCCACGAAGCTGACAGGGAGCCACTGCAAGGGCCTTTTGCAAAAGTGCATGAAAAGTGAGCCTGTCCGGAGGCCCCACTGGGGTTGGAGTCAAACACCACACCTCAGAGTAGACGGCCCTGGGCTTTGTCATCCCAGGGAGTCCCACCTCGTGGGCCGAGGCCCTGTTGGGGGAGGCTGGGCTGGCGGGGACCCAGAGAAGGGGTACCACAGGGGGACCAAGCCAGGAGCCCCCACCCAGTCCTCAGCTCAGGGCTTGGGCAGGAACGTAGAGCTCTCTAGGAGGTGTGGGGCCATGCAGGTCTGCACAGGGCCGAACCTCAGCCAGCTTGCCAGGGCCGCGGCGCAGCACGCCTGAGGTCTTAAGTCCTAGCACCCTGGTGAGCCCAGGGTGGGCCTGGGCTGGGAAGGGGCCAGGGAGCTGGGCCTCCTCAGCAGCGTGCGTGACCACCTTGCTTCCCTGGCCGCTCGCCCTGCACGGAACCCTGACTGGGCCTGGCCTGTCCTCATGTCTTCCAGATGAGACAAGGGGCCTTCCTGGTGAACACAGCCCGGGGCGGCCTGGTGGACGAGAAGGCGCTGGCCCAGGCCCTGAAGGAGGGCCGGATCCGCGGCGCGGCCCTGGACGTGCACGAGTCGGAACCCTTCAGGTGCCCTCACAGCCAGTGTCACCCCCTGCTCTTCCCTGCCCACCATCCTGCCGGCCTTGACCTGCAGATGGCGCCTCTGCCAGGCCGGGCACTTGCTTGTACTCAGGCCTCTCGCTGGCCGGCATGGGGGAGTTTGCTGCTCACTGTGGGGTGAGGACGGAGCCACAGGCTCCAGGCCTGCCTCGCCTCGGTCCTGTGAGGGTTGATCGTCCTCCTCAGCCCCTCTTCGGGCAGGGCTCCCCACCAGCCAGGAGAGAGTGAGGCCCCAGTGTCCGTGAGTGGTCCCCACAGGCCCTGGCCATGGAGTCATGGCGTCATGTCCAGACCTGCAATCCCTGCAGCGCCCTGGGACCCCAGGCAGCCCTGGGTTGGATGGTCAGCCACAGGAGGAGACACCCCGCAGGGGCAGTACCAGCCTGCAGCTCCTGGGGCTACAGGACCTTCGGCTGGGAGGGGCCAGGCCAGCATGTCCCCCCATCAGGGCTCCTCCCCCAAGGGGCTTGGAGATTAAATCCTTTGGGCTCCCACACCCGCTGCTGTCAGGAGCCCCTGGTGTGTCTGATGGTCCTGGGGCTGAGCTCTTGTGCTCAGCCCGCCTGCCAAGCGGAGCGGGGCCGTGGGGTCTGTGGGTCCCAGGCAGGGCCCCCCACAGGGGTTCCAGTGCCCAGCCACTTCCCCCCCGCACCCAGCCACAGCACTCGGGCTGCACTGACCATGCTGTGCTGTTCCCAGCTTTAGCCAGGGCCCCCTGAAGGATGCACCCAATCTTATCTGCACCCCCCACGCTGCGTGGTACAGCGAGCAGGCTTCCATCGAGATGCGAGAGGAGGCGGCACGGGAGATCCGCAGAGCCATCACAGGTGGGCCTGGGGGACTCTTCCTGCCAGCCCCAGGCCTGGCTCATGGGCTCGCATCCGCCCAGCAGCCAGGCCCATGTTCTGCCAGCTCAGGGCCCATGGTGCTCTCACTGCACCCCCAGCAGGGACCTCTAAGGCCAAAGTCAGGTTGAGCCCTGGCGTCGTCTTACACACAAGAGCTGCTGGGAAGTTGCTGGGCTGAGCAGACAGGTCCCTCAGCAAACTGGGCACATGCTCTGGGCTGGGGGTCCCCACGCTGCGAGGGTTCTGGTGCCCTGAGAGACAGGACCCTGCCATGCCTTGGGAGCCCCGGGGCTGAGAGGGAGGAGCACACTGCCGAGAGCTCTACAGCCCGTGTCTTCAACCCAGTGGGCCACGCTCCTGGGGCCCCCTGAGAGCCACAGCTATTCCTCCCTCCTGCCTCTCCCAGGCCGGATCCCAGACAGCCTGAAGAACTGTGTCAACAAGGACCATCTGACGGCAGCCACCCACTGGGCCAGCATGGACCCCGCTGTCGTGCACCCTGAGCTCAACGGGGCCGCCTATAGGTGAGCAGGCCCGCTGGCCCGGAACAGCCACCAGGAGGGCCCGAGGCTTCCCCTGGATCCCAGCACAGCCCCTGGCGGGAGGGGCGGCGTCTCCACTGACTGACCTGGAGGATCTGGGTGGAACTGGTAAGGCCCACCTCACCCGAAAGGCCTATGAGAACCAGGGCCTCTTGGAAGGAGCTGGGGTGGCCTTCAGGACCCAGTGCGCACAGGACTACTGTGGGCACCGGGCCTGTGGGAGGAGGGGGCTTTGGGTGAGGCGAAGACCTCATGTTCAAGTCGCCTGGAGACACCAGGGCTCCCCTCCCCTGCCCTGAGAAGTAGCCCCCGTAGGCGGGAGCATCCGTGCGGAGGCGGGATCCTCACCCTGACTGCTGGTCCCGCTGGAGCCGCCCCTCAGTGCTGCAGACGCTGTGAGGGCAGGTGGGGCCCGGTCAGGCTGCCTGTAGGGGGCCTCACAGACGGACCCTCTCCCAGCAGGTACCCTCCAGGCGTGGTGGGCGTGGCCCCCACTGGCATCCCCGCTGCTGTGGAAGGTATCGTCCCCAGCGCCATGTCCCTGTCCCATGGCCTGCCCCCTGTGGCCCACCCACCCCATGCCCCTTCTCCTGGCCAAACTGTCAAGCCCGAGGCAGATAGAGACCACGCCAGTGACCAGTTGTAGCCCGGGAGGAGCTCTCCAGCCTCAGCGCCTGGGCAGAGGGCCCGGAAACCCTCGGACCAGAGTGTGTGGAGGAGGTGCCTGTGTGGCGGCCCTGGCACTGCAGAGACTGGTCCGGGCTGTCAGGAGGCGGGAGGGGGCAGCGCTGGGCCTCGTGTCGCTTGTCGTCCGTCCTGTGGGCGCTCTGCCCCGTGTCCTTCGCGTTCCTCGTTAAGCAGAAGAAGTCAGTAGTTATTCTCCCATGAACGTTCTTGTCTGTGTACAGTTTTTAGAACATTACAAAGGATCTGTTTGCTTAGCTGTCAACAAAAAGAAAACCTGAAGGAGCATTCGGAAGTCAATTTGAGGTTTTTTTTTTTCTTTTGGTTTTTTTTTTTCTTCTTTTTTTTGTATGTTGGAACGTGCCCCAGAATGAGGCAGTTGGCAAACTTCTCAGGACAATGAATCCTTCCCGTTTTTCTTTTTATGCCACACAGTGCATTGTTTTTTCTACCTGCTTGTCTTATTTTTAGAATAATTTAGAAAAACAAAACAAAGGCTGTTTTTCCTAATTTGGCATGAACCCCCCCCTTGTTCCAAATAAAGACGGCATCACGAAGCAGCTCCAAAAGGAAAAGCTTGGGCGGTGCCCAGCGTGCCCGCTGCCCATCGACATCTGTCCTGGGGATGTGGAGGGTGGCAGCGTCCCTGTCTGCACCAGTGCCGTCCTGCTGATGTGGTAGGCTAGCAATATTTTGGTTAAAATCATGTTTGTGACTGTAACCATTTGTATGAATTATTTTAAAGAAATAAAAATCCCGGAAAGAGCCAGTTTGCCTAGCATTTGTTCTAGTGGCTTTCTGTCATGAGGACACGGGTGAGCCTCAGTCCTGGCTCTGGTGACCTCCAGGGCCTAGCTCAGCCTCTCTGAAGTAGGCAGCCTAAGAGAGACTCAGATACAATGCAGTGGCAGGTTGGGCAGTGGTCTCTGTGTGTACCGGGCCTGTGCCTCTGCCCACTGGGTCTGTGGGATGCTGTAGGGTCCTGGCTTGGAGGTGGCCTGCCCGAAGTGCCCCTGTGGGAGGGAAGCAGTGTGCCAGGCCGGGCCTGCCCCACTGCCCACCCCCTCCCTTCTTGGCATACCTCCCGCAGGCCGGCCTGTGACCTGGGAAGACTGTGGGCCACAGGAGGAGGAAGGAAAGCAGATGTCAGGACTGAGGAAGTTCCCCAGACCATGGGTCACCCAGCCTACAGAAATGTGCAAAAAAGCCAAAAGGTGTCGCACCTCACCTTGGCCCACAGCTGGGCTGGATGTTCAGCCGCAGGAGGAGACACCCCTGCAGGGGTAGTATCAGCCCGCAGCTCATACTGAAAACAGATTACTGGCGTCCTTCTCGAAATCCCAGCCTCCTGGTTTCTCAGAGCTTCTTTGGGGAGTGTGGTCTGTGCACATCAGCAGAGTCCCAGGTCGTTTATAAGCGTACGTTAACTTTGATACCGAATCTCCAAGTGAAAAAAGTACCACAGAAACCCCAGAGGAGCGTTTCCAGGCAAACTCCTGCAGGTGGGTCCAGGTGGCGCGAGGAGGGGCTGCAGCGGGTGCTGGGGGAACCCGGGTCCCCTCGGGACGTCCCCATCCCGAGCTTTTCCCTGCGTGCAGATGGGTTCTCCTGCCACCCCACGTGTCCAGACCCTGCAGCGTCAACCCCTAAGTGTCAGCCTCCCCTTGCTCCCGGCCCCGTCTAAAGCAGAAGCAGAGGGGAGGCCGCTGCCTTTGGCAGGGGTGCCCCCTCCTACCTGGCTCTGCACCCCAGTGCCCACAGGTCTCTTGGGTATGGGCAGTGGCTCCCGGTCTTGAGACCCACGCCGAGGGCAGCCCCGCCTCATGACAGGCCTCTGCTCCCTGCCGCCCAGCCCATCTCTGACCTGTCTGGGGCTCATCCTGGAGCCCCTGGGTCGCTAAGGGAGGTGGCCTGGGCGGGTGGGAAGGGTGGGTTCTGGACACGGTTAAGGAGCCAGCCCTGGTTTCGCCGACGTGGGCATGGGTGTGAGGAGGGGCAGCCAAGGTGACTTCAGGTGTCTGGGCTGCGGGCTGGAGCTGATGTTTTTGATGTCGCCGGTGTGGGCTGCAGAGGTGTCAGTGGGAAGACCAGGAATTCCATGCTGACCGCTGGCTCCAGCCTCTGCACAGGCAAGCCCTGGGCTGGGTCACTGGGCCCTGGTCAGCCCCCACGGCAGCCGAGGGTGGGGCTGGCCTCTGGCAGGGTAGGCCGCCCTCCCAGCTCCAACTGGAGACAGGCCCCGCCCCGAGAGGCAGCCAGGCACCGGGGACTAGCTCTGGACACAGGCCTGGAGGCTCCCACTCAGCTGGCCTCATTGTTTCCATGTTTCCAAGTAGAAGGGTCAGGGCAGGAATAGAACACCTCCAAGGGCTGTCCGTGGTGTGAGGCTGGCGGCCGGGGAGCCGGGACGCTGAAGTGTGACTGAGTCTGGGATGTAAGGGACAGAAAACTGTCAGAAAAGTGTTCTGAGCCTCGAAACGAACCTCCCCTTGGTGCCACCTCGGGGGAGTCACCCTGCCCAGCAAGACTTGCAGGATTGATTTTCCAGCAAAACACAACGCCTAGCAAGGGTGCGGGGTAGCAGGATGTCGGCGGGGTTGGGGGGGCCCTCAGCCTCAGTTTCCTGGCCTGTGAAATGGGCAGCACTGTTTATTTCCCTCGAGGTTGGTATTAGACTGGAGGTTGTGCCAAAACCTAACATGAAATAAGGTTTGCATGTTGGAAGGGAAGAGATAAGCCGCTGGTATTTGCTGACGAGCATCTGTGTACAAGACTCAAGAAAATCAGCCAAAGCCTGCAGCTAATCCTGGGACTGGCCAGGTGGCCTCACAGGAGCGCCTGTGGTGCCCGCCAACTGTCCCGCCCAACCTGGGGCAGAAACAAACAAAAGTTGCAGACAGCGGGTGCCCTGTGACAGGACGTGTCCTGCTCTGTCCTTACAACGCAGGGTCTGGCCCGCTCGCCCGATTCCACAGTGAGTGGGCACAGTGGTCAGAACCTGGTCCCAGCCACTGGCACCCGGCTGGTAAAGACCGTGGGAGTGACTGGGGCCGCCAACCGTGGTGAACGACGGGGAGGCCGCCAGATGACGAGACGGGCTGTGCTTGCGGGCGGCGGGCTGTTAATGTCGTCAAATACATGCCCTTTAAATACATTTTACCAAGTGCTAGAGACGTTCATCACCCCAGGCAAAATTTCAACTGCTTACGTTGAACAGATTCAACAATTTTATCCTCAAATTTATATGTAGCAACAAAGGTCTGTTAATTTGGGCTCATAAAACTCAGGCATTTTGAAGAGGGAGCAGCCACAGCAGCCTAGTTCTGACACCAGGGACTCTGGGGCAGAGACTGGGCCCGCTGGCTTGGCGTGCGCTTGCGTGCAGGTGCGTGGGTGTCTGCCTGGTGGGCAGGCGTGTGCGTGTGCGTCTGTGTGAACTGGACGTGTGATCAAGGGCACAGGTCCTGGGCTTCCCCCTCATGGGTAAAACAAGAGCTGCCGTATGCCAGCCTCGGAGGCATGGACGGCCCCTGAGCTCGGACAGCAGAGGCACAGGCCATTGACGCATTGGCACCGTGGCCAGAGTCCGTTCAAGAAAGGTCGGCAGAGAGGGCTAAGAACGCGGCAGGCACACCCTCCAACGGCTCTGCTGGAACCCCTGGAGCAGGAGGAAGCAGTGATTCTCCAGGCCTTGGGTAGGGCTCAGAGGCAAGAGGGGTGGAGCTGGGGAGGGTCGGGCAGCCCCAGCACCTCAGGCTACTGCGCCTCGGTGGGGAACTGTCCTGTGGCTGCTGATGAATACGCTGGCTCTGGTCTCCTGTAGACCTCTGCCTGGGCACGGGAGCAAGGGGAGGCTGCAGGTAGCTCTGGGGGCCTGGGCAGGAAGTTGGGAGGATGGGGACAGTCCTGGGGTGACCCAAGCAGGGCACAGAGTAGGGGGAGCCAGGCTCTTCGGGGCCGCACCCCATCCTGCCTTCTCTCCCCACTGTGGGCCCAGAACTTGCCCCGCAGAGGCCGGAAAGCACCCACCACCCCACCCCTAGCTGCGCTCAGCCAGAGCCCAGCTGGACTTGCAGGATTGATTTTCCAGCAAAAAACAACAGCAGAGAAGCCCAAGAGAGGCCCAGCTGCACAAGCTCTCCCAGGCCTCCCCCCGCAGCCGGCACTCCCTGCAGCAAAGAAAACCATCTGGCCACTGGGCCCTGAGCCCGGTGCCCGGAGGAGGACCTCTGCCCCGCTGAGCAGCTCTGCTCCCCAGGCTGGCCCCAGGCCTCTCCCGGCCTGACCCGCTCTGCCTGGCATCAAGCCCCAGCAGGAACGGGGTGACCCAGCCAGGGCGTGGGTCGAGTTGGTGTTCCCCAGCCCCGCTGAGCACCAGCACCTGGTGAGTCTACCTCTGCTTCCCCAAGCCCTTGACCACTCCCCTGGACAGCCTCAGCCGCCCCCTGACCCGACCTTCACACAGCAGCCAAGGGCTTCCCACGTAGAGTCCGAAAACATCCCTGATAGGCAGGACGTGCGACTTGAACAATATAAGGTCGGGCGCATCTGTAAACACAGCGCACGGTCAGGCAGCCGGACCCTCTGGCACCGTCTGTAAGCGCGGCTCGTGGAAACACCGGCTCTTCCGGGCGGCCTCTGTGCTGCCCTTTCTTTTTTAAACCAGCTACCGGCGCCATTGGTCAGTGGTAGCAGCGTCTGTAGGATCCCCCTGTGGTGGGCTCGCCACTCACTCTCCAGGTCCCTGACGCAAGCTGCCTCCAGCCGGGGGTGCCCACTAGAGGGGACGTCAGGGACAGCCAGGGCCAGGGCTATGGACGCTGGTGGGACGAAGGGTGTGGGAGGAGCCAGACTCACCCACATCCCTCCCAGCCCCTGCAGGTGTCTGGGCCTCCAGCCTCCACCCCTCTGTGCAGTGGGCCGTCACACCTGATGGAGCCCGGCTGCCTACCCAGAGAGCAGGTTCTGAGCAGCAGCCCTGGTATCCCAGGTCAGCCTCTGCTCAGCCCCACACTCACCTGACAGTGCCTCCCCGGCACTGCCCTGCACCTGCCCACACCTGCCCACACCAACTCCAGCCCCCTCCACGTGCCCCCCACCCACCCCGCACCTGCTCAGACCTAACCCCATCCACCCCCAACCGACGCCATCCACCCCCACCTACCTCCAACTGCCCCACATCTGCCCCCACTGCCTCTTCTCCTGTCCCCATCTTCCCCCACCCTCCATGTGTCTCCCACCTGTCCCCTCACCTGCTCACACCTGTCTGCCCCTCACCTGTCCACTCATGGTCAAAGCCACCTGCTTTTACACCCACCCCACACCTGGGGTTCGCCTTGAACTGGGGTTTGTTCTCTGCTGCTGGCGGGGCACCCTGGCTCCTCTGCCCCCTGAGGGAGACCTCGAAAGGCAAGGCTGCCTCCCCACCAGGAGCCTCAGGTCCTGCCTCCCCGTTCCACCTGCAGAGCTGAGTCTGGAGAGGCTCCTTCTATTCCAAGAGTCCCATTCAGCCCACTGGGTCCCTGTGCCCCGAGGAGCTGCTGCTCTTGCTGGGCGCCTCAGCCCTCCCACAAGGGATACATCTGTCCTGGAGAGACCACCTAGGGAGGCATTTGCTGTTGGTCCCTGCCCTGGGCCCTCCAGGTCACTCCCTCTTCTCGTCTGTCACAGCATGGCCCTCTGGCCCCACAACCTGGGCTGCCAGCCTCCCCCGCCCTGGCAGAGCAGTGGTGGGGCCAAACCAAGGGCTGACAACCCCCAGTCCAGTCA